ATAACTTGCTATATCTAAATATTTCTCTCAACCAGAAACCTGAGATGAATATGGAATTTATGATTTCGCATAGAATTGGATATAAGTTTTCGATTTTCTTTTAATTTTACCCATATCAATATTTTTATTTACATTCGATGAGTTATGGAAATGGAATACCTCAGTTGACTATATCTGGTACCTCACGCACATTTATACATTTTCTAAAAATTATCACATGTCTCATATAAAGTGAAGGAAGAAGATAGAGTCCAAACCTGGCACGTCGCAATATTTGTATCGTATTTTTCAGGTCAGATACGAAATATAAGAAATTGGCTCATTTCATCGGAACCTACTTTATAGAAAGTCAACAATTTGAATAATCATAGCATAAATCAAAATATTTTTAAATAATCGAACATTGGCTGAGGGTATACATCTGTCGGCAAAGCCGACTGATACTTTTTAACTACTTTTTCCCTTTTATATAGATATAGATATTTAGAAATAGGGATTTTAAACCTGAGGTGTAATAACGGGCCTTTTGGCTTCGTAGTGAATGGTTTACTTAATCAAATAAAATCCCCTTATTATATGAAAACATAATATCGCACTTTACTAATTAAAATTAAGGATGTGCCCATATGTTTTGGCATCCTGCGAGCTAAGCAAAGGCTATCGAATATGATTATAATGACACCCTTTGTTATATTTTAGACAGTTTAATTTACTTAAAGTTCTTAGCACCATATGGTCAACCCTAATAATTTGTTTGGAAATGTGGCCCGACATTCACTCACACACCAACACAGCTTTACACACATACATATAAGTGTCTATCTTTTTACGATAAACACACTCACGCACTAGTACGAATTCTTAAAGTACAAGGCAAACATATTGTACCATATGGACGGGAATATAAATTTGTTTGTTTTTTTTTTTGTTTACACACTTACATCAATGTGTGGGAATTTAAGCGTGTGTGTTTGTTACATTGTTATTCTTTCCAAGATCGATAGACATGTGTTTGTGTAATATCCATTCGAGTATGTGTGCGTGTGTGTGTGATTTTTCTTGTAAATTATATGTTAACATTAGACACAAGTTCCCATCATTTACCCTTCCATCGTTAATGATACGTTTTTACTTTCCTTGAGAACGAAAGGGTGTGTGTGTGTGTCTTGGTTTTGATTCACTGCGAATATTAAGTTACACACAACTTGCCAAGGCACAACATATTCATCTTGAAATTATATTTATTTTTAGAATAACTTGGTGTTTTTTTTTTGGATTGAATTAATGTTAAAACAAGTTAAAAGGTCGGTTTGGCCGACTGATGTATGCCCTCAGCCAATGATCGATTTTTAAATATATTTTCACTTCTAATATGGTTATTCAACTTGTTGACCCTCTATGGATATCGGACATAAAAAAATATTGCGACGTGCAAGGTTTGGACTATATTGGTCATTTCCTTCACTGTGCATAAAATATGTGATAATTTTTAAAAAATGTGGACATGTGCGTAATGTGCCTGATATGGTCGTTCGAAGTATTCCATTTACATTTTTTAGTCCTCGAAATGCTCATGTCAGACCCAACAATTTCTAAGTCGATTTAGCGATGTACGTCTGTCTGTTGTAATAAAGCTATCTGTCGAACGAATTGAGATAGAAGGCTAAAAGTTTGCACACATGTTTATTTTTCCCATTCTTAAAAGGGCTCTGTAGGTCCACATCTTCGTATAGCCCCCTAAAACGGTACCTCCCGACATTCGGTACTTTGATTATTTTAGCGACATTATTCATTGAAATTGTTTCAAATTTGGTATTTGAAGTTCGGAATGGATACTACAGCCTATGACAGAAAATTATCTGTGCAGGACCACGTCTTAGTATAGCCCCCATATAACCGTACCTCCCAATATTCGGTACTTTGATGATTTTAGCGACATTATTAGTCGGAATTTTTTCAAATTTGATATCTGAAGTTCGTAATGAATACTTTAGCCTAAGACAGAAAAGTGTAGGTGCAGTTCCACGTCTTCGTATATCCCCCATACAACGGTACCTCCCGATATTCGGTATTTTGATGATTTTAGCGACACTATTCACCCGAATTGTTTCAAATTTGGTACTTGAAGTTCGTAGTGGATACTACAGCCTATGACAGAAAATTGTCTGTGCAGGTCCACGTCTTCGTATGGCCCCATATATCAGTACCTCCCTCTATTCGGTAATTTGACGAGTTTAGGTACAATACCCACCGATATTGTTTGAGATGTCGCATTTAAACTTCGTAATGGATCCTTCAGCCTCTGACCGAAAATTGTCTGGTTGATCCAGATCTTCACACAGCTCCGATATAACGGTACCTCCCTATATACGATACGATACGATTTAATGATGTTAGCTAAATTATTCACCGTTTATTTCAAGTTGAATTTGAATATGGTAATGGCTTAGGACAAACAATACCTATGTAGGTCCACGTCGTATAGACCCCAATACAACGGCTATATTCGGTATTTTCAAAATTTTAACAGAACTTTTAACGGATTTTATTTTTTGAAAATTACCAAATTCGTTCCAAATGATGAAGGGTATTCCAAGTTCAGCCCGGTCGAATTTGCTGCTTTTTAACTTGTCGTACTTCATCTAATAACGATAAAAATACTGGTATGGGCAAAATTATAAGAAAGTATGTGTGAAATTTGAAGAGAGTTGGATGCTTATTTCGCTTTCTTTGAGCGTTTTGTTTTTCAAAATCTTGACCTCAATGTGGGGGAGGTACCAGAAGAAATGGTCCGATTTCTAACATCTTTATAACAGATCTTGTGTTTGATGGAAATATTGAGATGTACCAAATCTGAATGAAATTGAATGTTAAATTCGCGTTTTATGAGCTTCATGGATATTCAAAATTTTGACCCCCTGTGAGGAGGTATCAGAGGAAGTGGACCGATATATCCCGTCTTCTCAGAAGATATTGTATTAGTAAAAATAATGGGATGTTTAAAACATGAAGAGAACCGGATGATTATTTCGGATATTATACCCGTTTTTGGTTATTCATAACGTTGACCCTTTGTGGGGGAGGTACCATAAGGAAGGGTCTGATCTCCAATATCTTTATAACAGATATAGTGCTGATAGAAATATTAAGATGTGCCAAGTCTGAATGGAATCGGATGTTAATATTGCGTTATATGAGCTTCGTGGCTATTCAAAATTTCGAACCTTTTGTGAAGGATGTATCAATAAGAGTGGATTGATATTGCCCATATTCACACCGATTCTTGGGTTAATAACAGCACAGTGATGTGTGTAACTTAAAGATATTCGGACTCTTCCATCAAATATCTTCAGACTTATAATTATTCGAAATTTTGACACATTTTTGGGGAGGTATATTATGGAGTGGACCGATATTGTCCATTTCCGCACCTTACATAGCACTGATGCAAATATTAGAATTTGCAAGGTTAGAACAAAATTGGATTATCCTTTATCCTTCTGTGCAATTTTTTTTTTTTTGAAAATTTCGACCTTGTGTGGGGGAGGGGTGGATCAATAATGCCAATCCCCGAACTCGATATATATAGTTCCATTTAGTATAATTGTAGGACGCATACACAAAACCAGTCGCTTCAACAACAAAAGACACCAACAGTGACATCCATGTCAAATTTTCGCATTCCAGCCCTATACCTTCACTCTATATCCAATTGAGTACCATTTAGTACTTTTCGGAAAAATTTCTAAAACCACTTCCATATATGATTTCCAGATATCAACAGTGACATCTATATCAAATTTCAGGATTTCAGCCTTATTCCTTCATCCAATACCTAACATAGACCATTTAGTACTTTTCTTACTAATATAGGTCGCATCTCCAAAACCAAAACCTCTATATCTGATTTTCAGATACCAACAGTGACATCTGCATCAAATTTCAGAATTTCAGCCCTATCCCTTCATCCAATACCTAACATAGTACAATTTAGTACATTTTAGTACAATTTTAGTACGCATTTGTAAAACCACCACCAGATCTTAACAACATATACCAATAGAGACCTAAATATAAAATTTCAGGATACCAGCCCTATTCTTTCACCCAATACCAAATTTAGTACCACTTAGCACTTTTCGTATAAATATATGACACCTTTCCAAGCGACCGTCAAATTTGCAACACACATACCAACAATGGCGCTAACGTCAAATTTCAGGCTATCAGCTCTATATTTTTCCCTGTTATCAAATTAAGTACCATTTAGTACAATTATAGTACACATCTCTAAGACAACAGACACCAATAGTGACATCCATATTAAAATTCAGGATATCAGTTCTATTCCTTCACCCAATAAAAAAATTTAGTACTATTTAGCATTTTTCGTACACAAATGAGACGCATTTCCAAACGACCGCTAAATCTCCAACGAGATACGATCAGTAATCTAAACATTAAATTTCAGTATTTCAGATCTTTCGAATTTAGTACAATTATAGTACGCATATCCAAAACCACCTCCATATCTCAATTCCAGATACCAACATAGGCCTCAATATCAAATTTGATTTAGTTTAGAGGGTATATAAATATACCTAAAATGTGAAAAAATCTTTAAACCGGGTATACCCTAATATAATTCTACATGTAACCCAGAGGCCTGCATCAAATGTAAAAAAGTTTATCTTAAATTTTGCGACGAATAGAGCAAAATATTTCAGGCTCTTTGTGTATGGCTAAGGCTATATAATGGGTCTATATTTGGCCCGGAAACCGAAAAACCCTTTTGGAATTTAGATGTAATAACCGAATACAATCACCTCCAATTGTAATTCCAACCCCCACCACCAGATTGGTTGTTGCACAGTGTTATAAATTTGTAGGGTATTACATTGTCATTGCTTAATTGTCTAAAATTACCAACATATGCAGGACATACATAATATGTAACAATGTTTAATTTGGATTTTTTTTATATTTTTCAGAATATCTCCAATTATGTTGCTATGCTTTGGACCAGGAAACCTTTAATAGAATTTTACTAAAATGAGCTTATACATGACAATTCAAAAAGTCGTTATTACTATGACATTTAATATTCCCATATAACCATCGACGACGGCGGAGTTTATGTCTCTTCTTCTACCAAAGACAAGGCATCTCATAAAAAAGGAACAAAAACAAATAAGGACAAAACAAACAAGTCAACTCACATTTCGGCAACAATGTGAATGGGAATTTTAAAATACACCAGCATTCGAATACTTTTTTTTGAGTCTCTGCGATAATTTACAATTTCCATGAGAAAGGATCAAAAACAATGAAACAACGTTGCCAATGAAAAAGTAGCAACAAAAGGGATAAACATACAATTAATTTAATTACAAGAACAGCCCAGTGCGACGCATCTCTATTCACAACCCGATTCTATTCAAATCCAGCAGCAAACGAAAATGAGCTAAAAGAACAATCGCTGGAACAATAGCTCAGCTGGAAATAATACTCAGCCATTCAAGAGAAATCGAAGAGAGGGTGAGAGAGAAGAGAAATAAAAAGAAAACCCGTTTAACCTCTCTGATTGCCCCACACACGCACTGTAAATATCTATGTCAATTCATTGTAAAAAGAGGAAGAAGTACACTACCAAAAACATTAATCATCATTCTACCATTGCTCCCAGCCAACAACGGGAATAAGGACCCAAAGACCACCCAAACCCATAAGCATAGACCGCAAGACAAAAAGACAAAGCTGGCCAAATAAATGACAACATGAGTTTTTTAAGTTCCATGCAACAATATGTCACCAGTGGCATCAGTAGTCTTGGCCTGGGCAATCGTCGCTTTTCCCTCTCCAAACAGGATGCCAACGAAAATCAAGCACAAAATCAAACAATGGGCACAACACCGTTGCCCACACCAAACATACAGCAGACAACGGGGCCGGGAAGTACGGCGAGCAATATATTCAATGTGGTCGCTCCCACAGTTGGCCCGGGCACCGGCCAGGGTACCATGGGCAATTATCCCACCGGGGGCGTGGTAATTGGCAATCCAAATGCAACAAATCCTTTATTGGGTAAGTAAAGATTATCTGAAAAAAAATTTTAAGACCTTTGGGATTTTTTTTTTTTTTTGAAAAAATTATTAGAAAATGTCCTCGAGGATCCCTTTTTTTATTTGAAGGCGCTTTAAAAATTCCACCTATATTTACCAAAATGCTTTCAGGGATAATCCCAAAATAATTATGTAAGGCCCTTTTGAAAAAATCCTAAACGTCCTTTTGAGGAATAATTATTTATTTTTCAGGGGACCAAATGTAATTCTTTCGGGAATATCTCTGATAGCCTTTAGATCTATATATAGGTGGACTTTTCAAAAGAATTGTTCTGAAATTTTCTGACCCCTAAAACTTAAACTTCTAAAACCTTGACTGATCCTCGTGTGAAATTTCAAGATCCAAGCTTCACCCAGACGAAACGGCTTCATCTATAGAGACCAAAAATCTCTCAGATATATTCCTATTATATTAGGTCCTCAGAAAAAAACCTAAATGTCCTGTATGAAATAAACCAGATACCAAAACGGACATCCAAATGAAGTTTAAGGATTACAGCTCTATCCCTTGACCCTACACCACAGTTAGTAACATTTAGTAAAAAATAGGATGCATTTTCAAAGCAATGCCAAACCTCAAACACAGATACCGTCAGTAATACAAATATTAAATTTCAGAACTTTACATCTATATCCTCTACCAAGGCCAAATTTAGTACTTTTAACATTTAACATTTAGTACTTTTCGTACAATTATAGTACACATTTCCGAAACCACCTACATATGTCTATGCTACACATGAATCTTATAAAAAAAATTTAACTTCTTCACCCAATACCAAATTTAGTACCATTTAGTAATTTCCGCACACATTTCGAAAACCACCAACCAGGGAACCCAATAAAACGCAAGCACTCAAAGTAATATAGCTGAAGCCATAATCTTGAAAATTTGCACGAGGGTCAGCGTAGGCGTAGTCATAGGGAAATTCGGATCCTTCAAAAAAATGTACTAAAAAGGTACGGAAATTACTAAAATGTACTAAAAATGCAACACTTTGTTTTGGACAAACGTAACGACCTAAAATTCTGAAGTTTGGAATGACAGTCAAGGCAGAGTAGATGAACCAAAGGGGTTTTCGAAATTTGAACTTTAAGATTATGAAAAATTCTAAAATGGTACTACAGGGTGAGATGAAAAAATTTCGAATTGGACACCTTTGGCACGAATAATGGCCTTCAAATGGCCAATGAAACTGTCACACGCTGCCCGAATGTTGCTCTGCGGTATTTTGGCCCATTCCCGGCGAAGCGCTTGCTTGAGGTAATCGAAACTTTGGTATTTTTTAGAGCCAACCTTGCTTTCGAAAATACTCCAGACACAATAGTCCAACGGATTGTTATCCGTAGATTTTGGTGGCCGTGATGCGGTGAAAATGAAACGAGGAACCTCATTTTGTAACCATCCGTGGGTGGCGCGTGGTGAGTGCGGTGGTGCTGAGTTCTGTTGGAATGTTCAAAATGTTTGCGCGATAATATTCGGCATTTACTCTGATGTTTACAAACTGCTGGACAACGAATGTTTTCTCATCGAAGAAAACCAAATTCGGCAGTTCACCACTTTCGGACAAGCCAAGCAACTCTTTAGCTCTGTTGAGTCTATTTTCTTTCTGTTGCGGTGTAAGTTCTTGCACTTTTTGGAATTTCAATGGCTTTACCTCGAGCTCATTTTTCAATATTTGCCGAATAGAATATTGCGATATGTTCAACTAACAAGCCATTTTTCGGTCACTGCGATGCGGGTTTCGATCCAAATATAAGTAAATCACACCATCACACTTGAATACAATCACGAATAACTTTTTTCTGGAAAATTCTCACCAAAATGCTTTTGGACGCTTGTAAGCAATACAATGAGCTGTCACTGGAATAATTTTAACAGCTGCCGGACAAGTGGCTTAGAAATGACAGCAGTCTGAAATTGTTTGTAGTTTTTTCATCTCACCCAGTACATAGTATGGTTCGACATTCCGTCTGTAACTCATCGAAATAATAATTTTGGGTCAAAGTGTTTATTTTCTTGATAAGCGTAAAATTCTTAGACGATTTAGCCCTGTCCGTCCGTCCATCTGTCTGTATGTTGTAATCACGCTACAGTAAAAACGATTTAAGATAGGAAGCTAAAATTTTGCACAGATATGTCTTTTGTCTGCAAGCAGGTCAAGTTCGAAGATGGGCTATATCGGTCCACGATATCGTATAGCCCGCATATGACGGTATCCCCGATATTGGGTATTTTAATGATTTTAGCCAAATTTTTCAATGGAGTTATCTGAAGTTCTACACAAGGAGTACCTATATAACGGCACCCCCTGATATTTGGTATTTTGCTGATTTTAACCACATTTTTCAATGGAATTGTCTGAAAACTCACACAATGAGATCTTTGTGACTACTTTATCCTCTGGATGAGAAGTATCTATATAGATCAGCGATATCGTATAGCTCCCATGTAACGTTACCCCCGATTTTCAGTATTTTTATGATTTCAGCCAAAATTTTCAATGGAATTGTCTTCAAATCCATAATGGTTCCTTCCGATATTCGGTATTTTGATGATTTTAGCCACATTTTTCAACGAAATTGTCTGAAAATCGTCACAAGGAGTTCCATGTGAGTTCTTTTTCCCTAGAAGAGAATTGTCTTTATAGGTCCACGATATCGTACTGACCCCATATTCAACGAAATTTTTCAAAAGAATTGTCTTAAAATCCACACATGGCGATCCTTCTGAGTACTTTAGTCCTTAGAAAAGAATTGTCTAAATTGGTCTACAATATTCGGTATTTGCGACATTATTCACCGGAATTGTTTCAAATTTCAAATATAAAGTTCGGAACCGTTACTACAGTCTATGACACAAATTGCTTATGCAGAACCACGTCTTCGTATAGCCCCCAGATAACGATTTTCATTTGAGCGGTATTTTTCGGCGGAATTTTTTTAAAATCAAGTTTCTTCCAAATATTGGGGGGTATAAAAAGTTCGGACCGGCCGGAACTTATCTGCTTTTTATACCCTACACCACAAGGTGGTCAGGGTATAATGTCTTTGTGCATTTGTTTCTAACAGGCAAAAGGAAACGAGATAGACCCATAGTTCCTTTTGATGATCTGCATAGAATCACTTTCTGAGTCGATTTATGCATGTCCGACCGTCTGTCCATGTATTTTTGTAAGCAAAGTACAGTTCGCATTTAGTGCCCTATTCAGATAAAATTTTGCACAAATCATTTGTTTGGCCTAAGGACGAACCCTATTGAAATTGGAGAAAATCGGTCAAAATTTAGATATAGCTCCCATACATATCTTCGTCCGATTTGCCTTTTATAGTGCACTAAACGTGTAATATCATTTCGAATAGTATGGAATTTTGCACGTACGATCAGATTGGACCTGAAAATAAGTACGCCAAATTTGATCGAAATCGGTTCAGATATAGCTATAGCTCCAATATATATTGTTCATCCGATTTGTTATTTTTGTCCTCCTCAGCCGTAATATGCACTCTATAACAACAATATGTGGGGAAATATGTCAAATACAGCTCAGAAATACATTTGCTAAATTTTATCGAGATCGGTTCAGATTTGGATATAGCTCCCATATATTACTTCGTCCGATTTACCTTTTATTGTGCACCAAACGTCTAATATTTGCCCAAATTGGATGAAATTTGGCACTTCCGACCGAATTGAGCTTTGCAGAAAAAAAAAAAATAATCAAAGTTTTTTTAATTTTTTTAAAAGAGAATTGAAAGCCTTTACCCCCATCTCTTTTTAGGAGTTCTCTGAAAGCCTAAATCGTAGATTTTTGAAGCCTTTCAATACACATTTCTATCATTTATCCAAATTCGTACAAAAACATAATTGCAGTTATATTTCAATCGTCTATCCATTTCATCCATCGCTTGATTAATTCATAATTCCCTTTGTAATGGCATTTATTTCTACTTTGATTTGAATCTCCTTCACTGGTTACAATTAAAATAAGTTGATGGAGTTGACTTAAATGATTTAGTATTTTTTTGTGTCGTTGTCGTTTTTTTATTTTTTTTGTTTTCTTTGAAAGGCCACTGAAAACATATTCTGCCGACATTACAGATTTATAATGGGCACAAAAAAGGCGCAGTTGTTTGTCAGAATTCCCAAGTGTCGGAAATTGAAAAGTTTTTTAATTAAAAATTCATGATTAACCCCTTGCTTTATTTTTTTTTTTCTCGCTTCGTTTTGAACATTGTCTCTGTGGAGAATAATTCGTCCATTTAAATAACGATTTCTTTGTAGATTAAGTGCAAGAGGAGACCTTTGTAAAAATTAATTATTGAAATTAGAGATTTATTTAAAGCAAATGCTTGGCAAAATAATGTACAGCCTTTCAAATGAAAAGGCTTTTGTGTGGGGCGAATAAAAATAACATTGTGTAATTACAGGGAGACAATAGCGTAGATAAAAGAGGCTAAAAACTGAATTTAAATGTTCCACTCAGACTCGATGAAAAGTTCTTAAGTAAATCATTTATTTTTTTTGCTTAAATTCTAATGATTTCTATTTTCGTCTCTTTTAAGGTTATCCAAAAGTTGTCCCTTCACCGGGTGTTACCACGGGCATGAGCACCAGTACAACTTCGGCTGCCTCTACATCGTCGGCCTCGAACACCCCGGTTAGCTCACGTCGTCAATCACGTGCATTGGAATGTATGGCCCCACCACGCACCGGTTCATTTCGCCATCGAAATCCACAAGCTCAACAGGCCGAACCATCGCCACGACCACCATTGGCATTTTGCAAGAGACGTCTGTCATGGCCGGAAGTAGATCCCAGATCAAATTCAGGGTAAGTCATTCCAAGGGATTTGCCTTGCACTGAAAAAAAAAAAAAACAAATCGAACGAAAGGTCTTCACCCCCGAAAGATCTTCACCCCCAGATCATTTATAGTCGATAGAAGATGCAGGTCTACTATAGCCGATAGAAGAGCTCAAGGCCGAAGACCTCTAGCCGCTAGAAGACCTTCAGGCCTTTTAAAGCCAATAGAAGTCATCCAGGTCTTCTATAGCCAACAGAAGAAGACCTCGAGATCTTCTACAGGCGATAGAAGACCTCCAGATCTTCTACAACCGATGGAAGACATGCAGGTCTTCTATAGCCGATGGAAGACCTCCAGATCTTCTACAATCGATGGAAACCTGCAGATCTTCTATAGCCGATGGAAGATCCTCAGGTCCACTATAGTCCATATAAGAGCTGCAGGTCGCAAATAGCCGATATAAGACCTCCAGCTCTGCAATAGCCGATACAAGACTTCCAGGTCTTCTATCTCCAAGTAATATAGTCGACGGAAGACCGCCATGTCATTTACAGCCGATAGAACACTTCCAAGTCTTCTATAGCCAACTGAAGACCTCCAGGTCTTCTATAGCAGATAGGAGACATCCACGTTATAGCTAATAGATGACCTCTATTTTTTCTATAGCCAATAGTAGATGACCTTAACGTCTTCTATAGCCGATAGAAGATCTTCGGATCATCTATGTCCGATAGAAGACTTACAGGCCTTCTATAGCCGATAGGAGACATCCAGGTTTTCTACAGTCGATACAGACCTCTAGTTCTTCTATAACCATTAGATGACCCCCAGGTCTTCTATAGACAATAGATGACCTCGATGTCTTTCATAGCCGATAGAGTATCTCAAGGTCCTCTATAGACCATAAAAGACCTCTATAGCCGATAGAAGACCTCCATGTCTTGTACGAACCTCCAGGTCTTCTACAGACGATAGAAGACCACCAGGTCTTCTGTAGCCGATAGAACACCTCCATGTATTTTATGGCCGCTAGAACACCTCTAGCCGATAAAAGGCCTCCAGATCTTTTATAGCCGATAGAAGACCACCAGGTCTTCTGTAGCCGATAGTACACCTCCTTGTATTCTATGGCCGCTAGAACACCTCTAGCCGATAAAAGGCCTCCAGATCTTTTATAGCCGATAGAAGACCTCCAAATCTTCTATAGCGTATAGAAGTCTTCTAATTCTTTATCCTCCAGGTCTTCTTTTATGATAAAAGATCTTCAAGCCGATAGAAATCCTCCAGGTCTTTTATATCCGATAAAAGACCTTCAGGTCTTCGAAAGGCAATATAGAGCTCCAGGCCTTTTATAGCCGACAAAAGTCTTCTGATTGAAGACCTCCAGATCGTATAACGGATAGAACACCTCCAAGTCATCGGCAGTCGATAGAAGTCCTCCAGGTCTCCCATAGCCGATTGAAGGCATGCAATTGACGAACTCTAGGTCTTCTAAAGCTGATTTACGACCCTTAGATCTATACCCGATAGAAGAAGACCCCCCAAATTTTCTATAGCTGATAAAAGGCCTCCCGGTGTTCTAGCCTATAGAAATCCTATATTTTTAGCCTCTACAAGGTCTCCAGGTCTTCTTTAGCCGATTGAAGACATACGGGTCTTCTATAAACGTAAAAACATTCTTCTGTGGGTATGACGGTAAAGAGCAAAATATTTTTATCTCTTTCCGAATTCACTTCATGAAGTGTAAATTTCTTTTAAAATAATTAATTTATATCGCACCACTCTACTACCGAACTGGTCAGGAAACAAATGTGTTGTGATTCCATTAACGAGTTTAATAAAAGAATCGCTTATTTTGAGACCAACTGATATTGAACCAAAAAATTACACTTTACCACACTTGCGGTCAGATACAACAAAAATAAAAACGATATCTTAAAAGTTTCTGTCTTAACTTGGCAGTCGCTGCGAGAGACCTCTGTGATAAAAATGAAATCACAATTAATATTCACAGTCGCCTTCGTCATTCAGTTCCCTCTCAGCATTGTCGCTTCACAGCACTTCTACTTTGTCGATGACCACACGTCCAACAATGGAATTCGCAAACATTTATTATATTCCGTAGATTTGCGACCGAACTATAACTACACTGAGTCCAAAGAGCGATGTGCCAAGTTACAAATGACAAACAATCCCTTGCTGACGACAAATTTTGTCCGAGCCATAATGGACGAGGGTAATATTTATTATCTATTTTCCCAAGATTGAACCGGAAACAACTTTGGTTTATTTTTGTAGAGCTGTGGATCCCCTGGACACCTTTTGTTGCAGATTTTGTGACAATTTACAGAAATGGTTTGAAGCTAGTTAAGGAGCAAGAAAATCGTAAGAAACAGCTTGGATGCGTCTGTGCTACCGAATTAGTTGGAGCCTATGTGAGTTTTCATAATGGCACATCTGCCCAACATTATTATGTGCCGGACTACTGTTATCCGCAAGCAAAGCTGACGAAAGAGAAGTTGTTAGGACTTCGTATAGTGGCGTGTATTCTCATATATTCAGACAATAATCGTTAGGTTTTGATGGACATTGCTTTTAATAAATTAGAACAATTTTCGGAAAGTACAAAATAAATAAGAAGAGTCAAGAAGTGTTAACCAAAAAATTGCAGTGAACTAATTTTGCAGAAATCGTGTAAAAATTGGATATGGCATGGAAGTCTTCTACCGGGTTTGGGAGATATGCAGGTCGTCCATCGGCTGGAGGAGACCTGGAGGTCTTCTATAGGCTATATGCTTTCGACTGTTTGGTCTTCTCCCAGCTGTAGAGGACCTGGAGGGTCTCTATCGGTTGTTGAAGACATTCAGGACTTCTATTGGCTAAAGAAGGTCTTCCATCGGCTGTGGCTGACCAGGATGTCGCCTAGTGGTTAAGGAAGATCGGCAGATCTTCTATTGAATATTGGGTATAAAGGGCCTGGATAATTTGTATTTGCTTTAGAAGGCTATAGAATAACCGGATAATATACATTGGCTATAGAAGACCTGAGGGTCTATCACAGAGGTCCGTTGTCGAACACCGGGAATTCTTCTCTGGTGACTTATTTTAAAAGTAGAAGATCTAGCTATAGAAGACGTGTAAGTCTTCTACTGGCTATAGAAGAGCTGTAGGTCTTCAATTAGGCATAGAGCTGTAGGTCTTCTATTGGCCGTAGAAGAGCTGTAGGTCTTCTATTGGCCATAGAAGAGCTGTAGGCCTTCTATTGGCCATAAAAGAGCTGTAGGCCTTCTATTGGCCGTAGAAGAGCTGTAGGTCTTCTATTGGCCGTAGAAGAGCTGTAGGTTTTCTATTGGCCATAGAAGAGCTGTAGGCCTTCTATTGGCCGTAGAAGAGCTGTAGGTCTTCTATTGGCCATAGAAGAGCTGTAGGTCTTCTTCTGGCTATAGAAGAGCTGTAGGTCTTCTTCTAGCTATAGAAGAGCTGTAGGTCTTCTTCTGGCTATAGAAGAGCTGTAGGTCTTCTTCTGGCTATAGAAGAGCTGTAGGTCTTCTTCTGGCTATAGAAGAGCTGTAGGTCTTCTTCTGGCTATAGAAGAGCTGTAGGTCTTCTTCTGGCTATAGAAGAGCTGTAGGTCTTCTATTGGCCATAGAAGAGCTGTAGGTCTTCTATTGGCCATAGAAGAGCTGTAGGTCTTCTATTGGCCATAGAAGAGATGTAGGTCTTCTATTGGTCATAGAAGAGGTCTTATATTGGTCATAGAAGAGATGTAGGTCTTCTATTGGCCATAGGAGAGCTGTAGGTCTTCTATTGGCCATAGAAGAGCTGTAGGTCTTCTATTGGCCATAGAAGAGATGTAGGTCTTCTATTGGCCATAGAAGACCCGTAGGTCTTCTATTGGCCATAGAAGAGCTGTAGGTTTTCTATTGGCCATAGAAGAGCCGTAGGTTTTCTATTGGCCATAGAAGAGCCGTAGGTTTTCTATTGGCCATAGAAAAGCCGTAGGTTTTCTATAGGCCGTAGAAGAGCCGTATGTCTTCTATTGGCCATAGAATAGCCGTAGGTCTTCTGTTGGCCATAGAAGAGCTGTAGGTCTTCTATTGGCCATAGGAGAGCTGTAGGTCTTCTATTGGCCATAGAAGACGTGGAGGTCTTCTTTTGATTATAGAAGACCTACAGGTTAGAGAAGACCAATAAACTATCATCAGGATTTTCACAGCCACAAGAAGACTTCCACGTCTTCTTTTGGCTATAGAAGACCTGAAGGTCTTCTTTTGGTTATAGAAGACCTGAAGGTCTTATATTGGCTATAGAAGACCTGAATGCTATGGAAAACCTGGAGCTTTTTTATTGACTATAGAAGACCTGGAAGTCTTCTATTGCCTATAGAAGACCAGGAGGTTTTCTATTGACTACAGAAGACCGAGAGGTCTTATATTGGCTTTAGCAGACCTGGAGGACTTCTGTTGGCTATAGAAGATCTGAAGGTTTTCTGTTGGCTGTGAAAAACCTGAAGGTCTTTTATTGGTTAGAGAAGACCTGTAGATCTTCTATTAACTATACAAGACCTGGAAGTCTTCTTTTGGCTATAGAAGACCTGGAGGTATTATATTGGCAATAGAAGACCTGTAGGCTTTAGAAGACCTGAAGGTCTTTTTTTGGTTATGGAAAACCTGGAGCTCTTTTATTGGCTATAGAAGAGCTAGAGGTCTTCCAATGGCTTTGGAAGACCTATGGAAAACTGGATATCTTCTACTAGCTATTTCACTGGTTATGGAAGACCTGTCATGTCTTCTCCGTTATTTTGTAAAGTAATAACCATAATTTTTCCCATTAATTAAAAACTGTTTCAAGTGTCGATCCAATATTATATTCTCTTCTTTTTTCTTTTCTTCCCATTCCCTGTAGCGTTCAAGAAACCGATGGCTCATACTTTGAAAATTTCACATCGCTGGGCTGGAAACGGGAAAATCGCCGTATGTCGGCAACACGTGCCGCCGAGGCACGTGCCGAATCACTGCACGAACAAGAACGCGAGCCACCAAAAATTGCTGAGGACTCCATCGAGAGTCAAGAACAGAAAGAGAAACTCTATCTGGAGGTATTAAATACCATAGCCAATACAGTGGGGGCGCCAGCACCCGGCGGACAGGTAAGAACAAAGAAAATGTCGAAGAGAGAAAATTACGAAGAAGAACTTCAAGTTAATAAAGAATAGTTAATGTAAAAGTAAACGTTATTATGGCTCCTATCAATGCCAATGTGGCAGTGAGGTTATGTTGCATAAGTATTCGTGGCCGTGTGTTTGTGTTTGTGCGCTGCTGTACAAACATGTAATGTAAATGCCAGGGAGAAGTAGATACCATGTCCTTGGGCGGCAACCTTCATCTCCTTTCACCTTCAAATCGAAAACTAATTATTATTATATGTTTATTTTTCTTGTCTTCAAGGAAGCAGATTCACTCGCCCTCCCTCGGCTCATGCACATCGCACCACTTACATTATAGTTAGTTGGTAGTAATAGAAATGACAGAATGAAAATTATCTTCCCTTTTACATAAACATTTCATTATGTTTCTTTCTCATTCCTTCGGCTTTGGCTTTCATTATGGAATGTAACTTAAATTGCCAGGACAAAAGATTGATTTCATTGTCGAAGATGATGAGGATAAGGATGATGGTGATATAATTGTGGGAGAACGAAACTATATCTGTATGGCAATATTGACAAATCAATAATTAGATTTCCTTTAAAGATCACATTACGGCAAAAGGATTTGAATTTCTTTAGTTAAAACAAAAAAGAACAATCGGATGTTTAAATGGGGCGTGACACATCCCCATAGAAGTTCCCGTTAATAGGTTAGGTTTTTCAGAATTCCAGGATTTCCTTCTAACCCAAAAAAGGGGTGTATTTTAGCTATCACCCATATGTAGCCATCTATCTACAGGGTGAGATAAAAAACTGCAACAAAGTCAAACGCCATAATTTCTACATTTTTTTTTTAATTTTATTGACGGAAAGAAAAAAATGTCGGAAATAGCACCAAGTTTTAGAATAAATTTAGATTTGTTCAAATTGGTTATCTCTGGCACGAATTATGGCCTTCACACGCTGCCCGAATGTTGCTCTGCGGTATTTTGGTCTATTCCCGGCGAAGCGCTTGCTTGAGGTGATCGACACTTTGGTATTTTTTAGTGCCAACCTTGCTTTCGAAAATACTCCAGACACAGTAGTCCAACGGATTCTTATTCGGAGATTTTGGTGGCCATTGTGCGCTGAAAATGAAGGAACCTCATGGGTGGCGTCCTGTTGGGAATGTCTATGTTCTTTGAATGGCCAAAATGTTTGCCTGCCCAAGGCTTTAATACACCCTCCAAAATATAATAATGCCGATAATATTCGGCATTTATTCTGATGCCACGGTCAATTAATACGTGCGGAGGATGACCATCGGCTGTTATGGCGGCCCACACCATCACCATGGCCGGCGCTTGAATTCTGGTGGCCAATCGAAGGTGCGCATTTTCAGCTGACCTCTTTGGCATGTACATGCGAATTTTTTTTTTTTTTGTTTACAAACTGCTGGACTGCTGGCTGAGGAAACATTCGTTTCTCATCGGAGAAAACCAAATTCGGCAGTTCACCACTTTCGGCCAAGCGAAGCAACTCTTTAACTCTTTTTTCTTTCTGTTGCGGTGTAAGTTCTTGCACTTTTTGGAATTTCAATGGCTTTACCCCGACCTCATTTTTCGGCCACTACGACGCGGATTTCTATCAAGCCGCTTATTTAATTTTCAAACCATTTCTGCTGTTGACTGTCGACTGTTGGTTGCTGTATAGCCAATAGAAGACCACTAGGTCTTCCATAGCAAATAGACGATCTGCAGGTCTTCTATAGCCAATAGAAGATCTCCAGGTCATCTATAGCCAATAGAAGACCTCTTGTATTCTTTAGCAAATAGAGGCAAGTTTCCCACTCTTCCACTTTTTGTGATATTTTCGGATTAAGATTTTTTTGGAATCGATGCATTTTAGTTATGTACAGGGTTGCCCATATTCGACGGACACATCTGGCAACGCCATAACTTTTGACAGAGATGTCACATCGCTTAATGACATACCGCGTTTGAAGCGTCAGTCCAAGCAGATTTTTACCATGAACCAATACACGCCACGCGAGCGCTCCGAAATAGTTGAAATTTACTTTCAACAGAAGAAGTCAATTGTGAAAAAAAAATGTGAGAAGTGCGCCTTCTAAGGACACCATTAAGCGTTCATACGAGAAATTTTCGACTGGTAAGGCTCTTTCTAATCCGAAGAAGCCATATTAAAGTCGACCAAAGCCATCGGCCGAGAATATCGCTGCCGTACGAGCCAGTGTTGAGAGGTTCCCAAGAACATCCCAAAAACGCAGTTCTCAGCAGTTGGGCATGGCTCGGTCCACTTTACAAAGGATTATTCGCATTGATTTGCATTTGTTCCTGTACAAAATTCAATTGACGCAAAGAATGTTGACTGCGGACACGCCTCGTCGATTGGAATGGGCCCAAAGGGCCCAAAGGTCCGTCGAATATGGGCAACCCTGTATTGTCATTGGCAATATTGCTGATAACTATACGAGGATTGTTTTGGTCGAACATTTTAACCGTCAAGCCAGCCAACAAAGGGGTGTTTTCGGTCTTTTTCTTTAAATATGGTTAAAAAAAACCCTTTGAACGGGTTTTCTACTATAGGTTATAGAAGACTTCAAAAGGCTAAATGTTACTTAAATACCACGAACTTATACTCGTATCTATAAAAAGAATAAATAAATAAAATAAAAAAAATATAAAAAACACACATTTTTTAGAAACCTTTCATTTCCCTTTTCATATAAACATCCTGAAATTAACAAATTGTTCAACAACTTTATTTCCCTTTTTGCATTTACAGTTCACCCATTACAAAGATGAAATGTATTTACAAGCCCAGAGGGCATTTGGCATGAGTCCAGATCGTCACTATCGACTGTTGCATGCAACAGCTGAGGATAAACCAAAAGTTATCGTTCTCTCTGTGGTGGTAATCGAGGCAGAAGGCCTCGAGGCCAAGGATGCGAATGGTAAGTGGGAATGAATGGAAGACAGAAAAAAAAACATTGTAAATATGAATATGTAAAAAAATTAAAAATAATGCGTAAACGACAAATTTCAATTCACTAAAAAAAGAAGTTCATTACTTCGCGGTTAAGAACTGGGGCCAAGATGTTTCATTTGATATTGCAACAATTTCGATCATGCTGCTAGTGCAATTACACTGGACAACAAACAGTTACAGGAAAAGCCCAGTAGATTACGAAACAAGGGTTACAAATACATGAAACGTATATCGCCAATCTGAATGTTTACGTCGCAAAGTAACCTAAATAGAGAGGGACAAGTCCCAACACTTTATCCGCATTTTTTTAATTTTCGGATTAAAATACCTTGGATTCCGTTTTAGGTAATTAGTGTCTTCCTTAAAGAGAAAATCACCCAGAGAGTGGGCCACTAATGTCCATTTCACATCTAACCTAAGTCTGATAAAAATATTATGAAGTGCCACGTTTGGACTCTATCGACTACTTGATGTGATTTTTCAAAAATGTTGAAATGAAATTTACAATTCCATTTTCTTACTCCCCCTAATACTGTTAGAATTTTGGGATGTGCAAGATTTAAAGAAAGTCGAACATTTATCTACAATTTTATGCGAATAATTGTCAATAGAATTCTTAAAATTTTGTGGGAGAGGTACGAGAGTGAGCCGATAAATTTCATATTCACATCTGATAACTATAACTCTAACTATTTTGATATATCAATATTTAGAAAGTTATGAGAAATATAAGATTTTTTGAAGAGAATCGAAATGCATATTTTGTATTTTATGACCCTTTGTGGGGGAGGTACCAGAAGGACAAGTCCGATACATTCCACCTTCACAGCAGGTCTTATGTTGATTGAAATATTAATATATGGAATTTGAAGATATTCGGATGTTTATTTCACATTTTATGGGAGTTATAATTATTCGAAAGTTTGACCCCTTGTGGGGCAGGTACCAGGAGGACTGTCCCGATATATTCAATTTTCCTAGCAGATATTGTGTTGATAAAAATATTGGTATTCCCCGAGTTTAAAGTAATCGGATTCTCATTTCGATTTTTTAGTTTCGTGATTATTCAAAATTGTGACCCATTGTGTGGAAGGTACCAGAAGGTGTGGTCTGTTCTCTCCGTTCCTTATACCAGATCTTGTGTTGGTCGATATATTGGGATGTGAGAAATTTAAAGACAATCGGATTCTTAGTTCACATTTTTTGATAGTATTCAACATTTCGACCCCTTGTTGGGGACTTACTTGATGGGGTGGACTGATATTGTCCATTTTTCCACCTGATGTAGCACTGATAAAAAATATTATGATTTGTAAAAATTGAATGATCCTTTCTTACTCTATGGTGTAAATTATTTTCTGTGAAAATGTTAACCTTTTGTGGCGGAGGTACCTGAAGGAGTGGAACGATATTGACCATCTCCGAACTCGATCTAATTTTGATAAAAATATAACGATGTACCGAGTTTGGATTAAATCGCATACTTCCCTTGAGAGTTATCGTGCGCACTAGCCAGACGGACACCCCTAGATCGACTCGAAATGTCCTGAAGCAGATTTGACGCAAAGGGACATTGGGTCTAAAACCTTTGGCCGTTTCACAAAACCACCTTTACATATAAAACTACCTTTCCAACCTTGATTCTCATACCAAATTTGAAGTTTTTAACTCTATCCATTCACATAATACCAAATGGTACCATTTTAGAACTTTGCGCAATCATGAAGTTTGAATTTCCAAAAAACTTTTGATACATCTATCGTGTACTCCATTAGTGATGCTCATTTAAAAATTTCATCCCAGCTCTATCGGCTTACCAAAAATCCATATTGTACCAAACTTAGTATGCTTTAGAACACATAAGTACAAATGTCCATAACAACCTACATCATACAATCCAATAGAAATCTATTTTTCCCAATTTATGGATTTCGGCCCTATCGGTTCGCCCAATTTCCAATTGTGCCAAATTTAGTACCATTTAGTGCTCATAATTATCCAAAACTTCCTACATACCCCAATCCTACAGTCCCACAGCAATCCCAATTTCAACGTTTAGGATTCCAAATTTATTGGTTAACCCAATTCCAAATTGTACCAAATTAAGTACATTGTAGTACATATAAGTACAAATTTCCAAAATTACCTCCATATCCTAATACTACACTACGACAGCAATCTCATACGTAATTTTCAGGATAACAGCTCTATTGGTCACCAAATCCAAATTATACCAAATGTAGTACCATTTAGTACACTTAAGTACAAATTTCCATAACTGCCTACATCGTACAATACAATGGACATTTTAATTCCATATTTCAGGACTCCAATTCTACCGGTTCTCCCAAAATGTAAATTGTAACAATTTTAGTACTATTTAGTATACATACGTACCAATTGCCAAAACTACCTCTATACCGCAGTCCTGCAATGCAATAGTAATTTAATTTACAAATTTCGACAATACATCGAAATTGCACAAATTTAGTATCATTTAGTACACATAAATACCAATTGCCAAAATTACCTACATACCGCTGTCCTACAATGCTACAATAATCCTATCTCCAAATTTCAGCCTTCCAGCTCTATCGGTTCACCCAAATTGAAATAGTACCAAATTTAGTACCATTTGGTACTTTCAGTTCAAATTTCAAAAACTACCTGCATAGCCCAATCCTACACTTTGCAGTAATGTTAATTTCAAATTTTCGGATTCCAGCTCCATATGTTCCTTCAAGTTATAATTGTACCAACTTTAGTACTGTTTAGTACTTTTCGTATACATGAGTACCACTTCAAAAAGTACCTTCTTACATCGACCCTACTCCTCAACCTTGATTCCCATTCCAAATTTCGAGGTTTAAATATAACCGTCCATATGATACGAAATGGAACCAAATGTAGGACAATTTAGCACTTTTCGAACACTAAATGTGCGAATTTCCAGAAACCCTTCGGTACATCTCTCATACACTCCATCAGTGACCCTCATTCCAAATTTAAGCTCCACTGGCTCGTCAAATACAAAGGGCACCATATTTAGAAATTTTAGTACTTTTCGTAGCGTTCTCGTACGAATTTTCAAAAACCCAGTCTTTTCTGATACTTTACTTATGTAGGTCTACGCCTTCGTATAGCTCTCATATAACGGCTCTCATTCAAGTGGTCCCTTTCGACGGATTTTTTTTTTAATTTTCAAGATCCTTCCAAATGGTGGAATGTTTGAAAAATTTGGCCCATTTCAAAGATTTGGCAGCGTATGATAAATATTAATAGAATTTATCGCTCATACGTACCATTGAACAACTCTCTCAATTCCCTTTAATTGCTTAAGCATTGTTATGTACATACGTATGCTTATTTTCAACACCTTTGGGCCACAGCTATTATTTACATTTGTTACTTGCGTGTTTTTTTTTTTTTTTCAAGCCACCGACTTAATAGGCTATTGCGTGTGGGTGTGTACGTGTGTGTGTGTGTGCTCAACAATTTGTACAAATATCCGTTTTATGACTCCGTGTATTTAAGTGTGTCTGTTGATTCTTACCGCCCGACCGCCCGTCAGCCAGCCCAAACGCCAACAACGTATGCATGTTGCAAATTTTCATTCATAAAAATTGAACGTTTAATTCGCTGCGTTGTTGGCTATTTGCCAAACAAAGCCAATGATAAATAGCCCGATGTCAGGTTATTCATGAATTACGGTGGCGGGTCTTAGCATAAAATTACATTTGCACCAATGCCAATTACGCGTGTTCCGCCAATTGATGTGCCATGTCATGTTTAATGTAAATATTACGGGTGCTGGTGCTAATTAAGTGCAAAATAATGTGTAAAATTTTTTGGAGAATGTAAGGAAAGGATTATTGTTAAAGTTTGGGGTGGTCATGTCATGGAAACGAATTTGAGTAAAATTGGAATGGAATGATTGAAGTGCAATATATGTGTCTGCAGAAGATGTTACAATTTAAACAAACATTTTGAATCCTTTTCATTTTGGGCTACTGAGGATGTTTTATTTGTATACCCTTCAGCCCCTTGGCCAGAAAGCGAATATATTAATTATCACGTTAAAAAAGAAATTAGTTACAGAACATTTGGAATCGATCGGGCCAACTCTCGAAGGGATAATTCGATTTACTCCAAATTTTGCACAGCGAAACATTTTCTACCAAAATTGAATTTAGCGGAAACTGATTCAGAGTGAATATACCTCCTGCCAAAAAACGTACATTTCTTAAAGAATATTTTCAAATGACTAGTAGGTTTTCGTCATCGAAAAGTCCACCTTAAATTTTTAGATTCATTTCAATTCGTGTTAGCCATTTTTAGTACTCAATATGCACAATTTGTTCAGTTTGACAAATTTTTTTAATCAAAACTTCATTAATCATACTATATTTTCAGACTTGTAATGTTTTATATATTGTTCAAGTTTTTCCTTTTTCGAAGAATAATAGGAAAACTATTAAAACTATTAAAAAGTCTTAAAAATCTTGCATTTTGAAGTTTACACAAAGCTTATTAGTTAAACCCTTGCACAATGGATTTTAATTCTTTTTTTCTGACCAAAGCAATTTCAAAGTTTAAAAAAAAAATGGCCACCACCGTATTTACATCCTAGAAACCAATAGTGGCCTCCACATCGAATTTCAGAATTCCCCCTCTATTTCAGGGCCCCATTTCAACCTTATTACCATACTTTTTGTACAGGTATACTACTACTGTCCTAAGCACCACTTTCTCTCATCCACAGTGACACCCATATCAAATTTCAGGATTCAAGCTCTATCCATTCACTCAATGACAAATTTAGTTCCATTAAGTACTTTTCTTAAAATCATTGTACGCAGCCCGAAGTCCCCCTTCTTCTCTCAAAACAATATACCGACAATTGTCCCAATATCTAATTTCCAACTGTATCCTAAGACTTACTCCCAAACTTATTACCATACTATTGGAACAGTTATACAAATACTGTCGAAAGCCACTTCCTTCTCTCATCTACCGACACCAACAGTTTAATGTACCCCACATATCAAATTTTGTACTATTTAGTGCAATTACAGTACGCATATCCAGAACCAGGTCTTTCTCTCAACTACATACACCAACAGTGACATCCATATCAAATTTCAAGATTTCAGCTCTATTCTTTGACCCAACACTTAATTTTGTACTATTTAGTACATTTTGTACACTTATAGTTCACATTTCCAAAATCACCTCCATATCTTAACCACAGACACCATCAGTGGCATACATATCAAATTTCAAGATTTCAACCCTATTCCTTCACCCAACACCAAATTTTGTACTATTTAGTACTTTTCGTAGAATTATAGTACTCATTCCCAAAACCACCTCCACATCTCAATTCAAGATACCAAGACAGACCTCAATATCAAATTTGAGGATTTAGTACTATTTAGTGTTTTTCGTATTAATATAGAACACATTTCCAAATCACCGCCAAATCGCATCAGATACCATCACAGTTACCATTAGCTAACTAAATATCAAATGCCAGGATTTTATCTCTGTCCTGTAACACAATACCAAAAAAGTACTATTTAGTACTTTTCGTACAATTATGGTACACTTTTCCAAAATCACCTCAATATCTCAATTCCAGATACCAAGACTCAATATCAAATTTGAGGATTGCAGTCTATTTCTTTCACCCAATGCCAAATTTAGTACCATTTAGTCATTTTCGTACTAATATGGGACGCAAATCAAACCAAAGCCAAATTTTAAACAGGTATCATCACTAATTTAAATATGAAATTTCAGATTTTTATCTCTATCCCTTCACCCAAATATCAATTTAGTACCATTTAGTACTTTTCGTTCAATTGTAGTACTCATTTCCGAAACCACCTCCATATGCCTAGGGTGCACATGAAAAGCGATTATAATATAAAATTCAGATTTCAAGCCGTATCTATTCACCCAATAACCAAATGGTACCAATATAGTACTATTAAGTACTTTTCGCGCACTTGTAGCACACATTTGCAAAACCTCCTCTTTATCACAGGGCTACCACCAACAGGTACCCAAATACATAATTTCACAATTCCAGCTTCATCATTTTGGTAAAATTTGTACCGTTTTAGTACGTATTTCCAAAAACCTAATCTTATCAGAAGCCTACACACCAAAACTGATCCCTCTGGTCTGGACTGATTCTCAGTCAGTCAAATATTTCACTACTCTTTTCATATCCTCCACCGTACATAGTATGGAGGGTATATTAAGTTCGTCATTCCGATTGTAACTCATCGAAACAATAATTTTAGACCCAACAAAGTATATATCTTCTTGATCGGCGTAAAATTCTAACACGATTTAGCCCTGTCTGTCCTTCCGTCTGTCCGTTTGTTGTAATCAAAACGAATTAAGATAGGAAGCTAACATTTTGCACATATCCGTCTTTTGCCTGCAGTCAGGTAAAGTTAGAAGATGGGCTATATCGGTCCACTATATCGAATTGTCCCCATACAAAGGTAGCCCCCGATATTCGCGTATTTTATTGATTTTAACCACATTTTTAATGGAATTGTCTTAAAATTATACACAAGGAGTTGTTCGTGACTTCTTTAACCACTGAAAAGGAAATGTCTCTATTGGTCTACGATATCGTATACCCCTCATATAACTGTACTTCCCGAAATTCGGTGTTTTGATGATTTTAGCTACATTTTTTAATGGAATTGTCTTAAATTCTACACAAGGAGTTATCTGTAAGTACTTTATCCCCAGAAAAAGAATTGCCTATATAAGTCGACGATATCGTTGCCTCCAATATTGGGTATTTTGATGATTTTAGCCACATTTTCCAATGGAATTGGCTTAAAATCCACACAAGGAGTTTCTTCTGAGTACTTTACCCCTGGAAGAGAATTGACTTTATAGACTCTATATGTTTTAGTTTTAGCACCCATTTAACTCTATCCCGAGATATTCGGTATTTCCAGAATTTTTGCAACATTATTTACCAGAATTGCGCCAAATTTCGTATTTGAAGTTCGTAATGGGTAATTCACGGAAAATTGCCTATGCAGGTCAACGTCTTAGTATAGCCTTATACATCATTTATTCGGTATTTTGATGATATTCAACACATTATTCATCGGAATTGTTTCGAATTTCATATTTGAGATTCAGAATCGTTACTACAGCCTATGACAGAAAATTACTTATCCAGCACCACATCTTCGTATAGCCCACATATAAAAGTTTTTATTTGAACCGTATTCTTCGAGATTTTTTTTTACATTTTTTAGGTTCCTTGCCAATGGTGGTGGTTATAAAAAGTTCAGCCCGGCCGAACTTAGCTTCTTTTTTTACTTGTTTATATATAATTTCCGACAAAAGATTTTTTTGTAGAGTTCCGTGATTTTGAAAATTTTTTATTGAAAACCAAACATTTTTAATGGTTTTCAGAGCTATAAGCGTCTATATATACATGGATTTCTTTAGAAGGTCATTCTGGAAAATAATCCTAGATTTTTAAGGTGGCTTTGAAAAGATTTTTTTTTTCAAGGAAAAATAAAATCTTAAAGCTATTCAGGCTAAAAATTGGATAGTTTGACTCAAACATATTTTCAAAGACTTTCAGAAAAAACCTCCTGAATTTCAGGATTTTGTTAAGAAATCGTTCACAATTTTTTAAGGACCTACTGTGCAAAAAAAATAAGGATTCCAAAATTATTGAAAGGTTTGCATAGGCAAAAATCCTGGATTTTTTTATTTTTGTGTGGACTTGCAATTCCGTCAACTGACATGTGCTGTCATGTAAACTAATGACACCATCATCCTTACCTGCAATTCCCGGTTTTACATTTTCTCTTTCGATAATGAATAAAATTGTACCGTTGTTCCTAGCTGCCCAGCCTTGCTAAAGAAATAAACGACAATAAAACCAAATAACGATTGTCCTTTAGACCTCTGTTCAGGACTATTAATGACATTCATTTCCCATCTGACCACATTGTGTTTATTATGCCGATGCTCTTGACTACGTGTCGAATTCTTGGAAATTCCGTGGAAACATGAAAATGAAATGATGCGATGTTCTGTTTTTTTTTTTTTTTCGGAGAACAATAAAATCGTGCGCAAAAATTACATTTTACAATACAAGGTTCAATTAATGCACATAAAGGACTCGCTTAAAATGAATAATTGTTGAATTACATGTCTCTGACAAAGCAAACAGGAGAATCGTTTTAATTACTTGTGAGATAAAAAAATAAAGACAGATATGAGAAAATACACCAAGATTCGGAAAATTGAAATTGGGAAAACTGTGCTCCATAAGGAACAACTTTTTGAGAAAACAAAGTTATTTTGACATGATATTAATATCAAAATAACTTTGTTTTTTTCTCAAAACTTTGTTCCTTATGGAAGAGAGTTTTCCCAATTGCCTCTCAACTATAAATTAAGAAAAAAAATTTAAAATAAATAGAACAGTGTGGCTTGTTTGTTCGGGATACCGTAGTATTTTGTTGTTGCAAAATGGTCTGGCTTTATCCCTTTATTGTTGTTTTTATAAAAACAACGTTTGTTTATTAGTGGAGAACGATGGTAATGTTTACCAGGGGGTAAGGCAGGGAATACCTAGGTTTCGGAAAGAGCCACCAATCCTCATCAGTTCCCTTGTTTTTGTCTGGGATATTCTCCCCAGAAGTTATTTTAAAAATAACTTCTATGACAAAAAACATTTTTTTACCCAAGTGACGAGATCGTAAGCTCAATAGAAGAGGAACCAAAGAATTAAATAAAACTAAAATTCTCTTGGAAAGTCTTCTAAATCTTACAACCGCACTTATAAACATTTACATCTTTCTCCACTTGTTATGCTTTCGTTCAGCCTGAACGAAGTAGCATAACCATGTAAGTTGGTTTTGTCTGTTACAACAAAAACCCCTTCGTCGACCGTGCCTTGTCTATTAATAGAACAGTGTGGCTTGTTTGTTCGGGATACCGTAGTATTTTGTTGTTGCAAAATGGTCTGGCTTTATCCCTTTATTGTTGTTTTTATAAAAACAACGTTTGTTTATTAGTGGAGAACGATGGTAATGTTTACCAGGGGGTAAGGCAGGGAATACCTAGGTTTCGGAAAGAGCCACCAATCCTCATCAGTTCCCTTGTTTTTGTCTGGGATATTCTCCCCAGAAGAAAATAAATATTTTAATCAATTGAATTGGTTTTTAAATGTTTTCCATTTTTTTCTTCTGCCTTTTTTGTTTATTTGCAGGCTTCTCCGATCCCTACTGCATGCTGGGCATCCAACCAGATGGTGGCCCGCCCGTATCACCATTGCCACTGCCACCAACACCGCGAGCACTTTCGGCCGATATGAATGCATTCGACAACAATGCCACCGATTCACCGCCACATCGTAAGCACAGCTTTCGTTTGAGTTTCAAACGACGCGAGGGCACGCGACGAGAGCAGCGTGATTCATTGGGCGGTCCGGTACCAGCAAAATTTATATGCGCCACATCAATAAAACCGCACACGCTGACGCCCAAATGGAATGAGAAATTCAAATTGTAAGTACAAAGAGAAAAAAACCGCAGCGCAAGAGCACAGAATTTATCACAGAATTAAAAAATTCACAGAAACCAAAATAAGAAAAAAATGCAAGTGTTGGGCGTTTAAAAATTGTTAAAATTTATATTTATTTTTCTTTGAATTCGAAGCTATGCTTAGCTGTTTGAGGGTTATGCATATTTTTATACCCTACACCACAAGGTGGTCAGGGTATTATGTCTTTGTGCATTTGTTTGTAACAGGTAAAAGAAAACGAGATAGACCCATAGTTCCTTTTGAAGATCTGCATAGAATCACATTCATGTCCGTCCGACCGTCCGTCCGTCTGTCTGTCTGTCCGTCTGTCCATGTATTTTTGTAAACAAAGTACAGTTCGCATTTATTGCCCGATCCAGATGAAATTTTGCACAAATCATGTGTTTGGCCCAAGGACGAACCCTATTGAAATTGGAGATAATCGGTCAAAATTTAGATATAGCTCCCATATATATCTTCGTCCGATTTGCCTTTTATTGTTCACCAAACGTGTAATATCAGCCCGAATAGTATGGAATTTTGCACATACAACCTAATTAGGCCTGAAAATAAGTATGCTAAATTTGATCGAAATCGGTTCAAATGTAGCTATAGATCCCATATATATTGTTCATTCGATTTGTCATTTTTGTCCTCCGCAGCCGTAATATGCACTCTGTAAAAACAATATTTAGGGAAATATATCAAATACAGCTCAGAAATACATTTGCTAAATTTTATCGAGATCGGTTCAAATTTGGATATAGCTCCCATATATAACATCGTCCGATTTACCTTTTATTATGCATCAAACGTCTAATATTTGTCCAGATGGGATGGAATTGGGCATTTGCGCCCGAATTGAGTCTAGAAACTAGAATATCAAATTTGGTGAAGATCGGTTCAGATATAGTTATAGCTCCCATATATACTGTTCATCCGGTTTGTTATATTTGTTACCCACAGCCGTAATATGCACTCTATAACAACGATATTTAGGGAAATATATCAAATACAGCTCAGAAATATCTTTGCCAAATTTTATCGAGATCGGTTCCGATTTTTAGCTCCCATATATATCTTTAGCTCCCATATATATCTTTATCCCATTTCAAATTAATTGTTCACCAAATGGCAATACAAGTCCGAATTTAAAAGATACAAATGCTTCGGCATATTTAGTCCTTTGAACTTTAAATTAGCGGAGCTCTACTAAATTAGCAAAGCGGTGTTGGGTATTATAAAGTCGGCCCCGCCCGACTTTAAGACTTTCTTTACTGGTTTGAAATAATTACAGGAAAAAAACAGTCAGAAATAACAGAGGGATGTATCGGCATTTTGAAAGTATACATCCTAAAAAAGGAGAGAACAATCACATCTTTCGAAAATTTCGCTTTTGAATCACAGTATTTTAGATATATAGCGTCCAAGGCAATATAACTGATAACAATCTATACATAACAAGAAAAACAGGAGCTAAATTCGGCCGAGCCCGCCTTTTAATATCCTCCACCATTAGGAAAAAACTTAAAAAATTAACAACAACAAAAATTACATAAGTAATTGTTTGTCATTGGCTGTAGTATCGATTTCGAACTTTAAAAACGAAATATAAAACAAATTCGCTAAAATTGGGCCTGAACGAAAACGTAGACCGACATGGCGCGCCATAATTCTTATATTTCTTTTTTTAATTTTAATTGAATGAAAACGAACAACGTCGGAAATAGCATCAAATTTTAGAATAAGTTTAGATTTGTTAGAATTGGTCACCTTTGGCACGAATTATGGCCTTCAAACGGCCAATAAAACCGCCACACACTGCCTGAATTTTGCTCTGCGGTATTTTGGCCCCATCCCGGCGAAGAGCTTGCTTGATTTATATATTGGTATGTTTTAGTGCCAACCTTGCTTTCCAAAATACTCCAGACACAATAGTCCAACGGCTTGGTATCCGTAGTTTTTGGTGGCCATTGTGCGCTGGAAATGAAGCGAGGAACATCATTTTGTAACCATTCTTGGGTGGCGCGTGCTGAGTGCGATGGTTCTGTTGGAATGTCCAAGGTCTGCGGCAAAAATGTTTGCGTGCCAAAGGTTTTAATACATCCTCCAGAATATTTTTGCGATAATATTCGGCATTTATTCTGATGTCACGGTCCATTAATACGAGCGGAGAACGACCACTGGCTGTTATGGCGGCCCACACCATCACCATGGCCGGCGCTTAAGCTCTGGCGGAAGGTGCACATTGTCAGCTGACCTCCTTGGCAAGTGAACACAATTATTTTGCTTGTTTACAAACTGCTGGACAACGAATGTTTTCTCATCGGAGCGGAGAAAACCAAATACCGCAGTTCACCATTTTCGGCCAAGCGATGCAACTCTTTAGCTCTTTGGAGTCTATTTTCTTTCAGTTGCGGTGTAAGTTTTCGCACTTTTTGGAATTTCAAAGGCTCTACCCCGCACTCATTTTTCAATATTTGCCGAATGGAATATTGTGATATGTTCAGTTCACGAGCCATTTTTTGGCCACTGCGACGTGGGTTTCGATCAAGTTGCCTTTTTTCATTTTCCAACCATTTCTGCTGATGTTGCTATTTTCTTCCGTCCACTTCCATGACGTCGGGTTACGCTACCAGTATCACGGTAACGATCACATTTAAATGCTGGAATGCTCTAACGATAGCCACTTGTGGTTTTCCAGCAAAATATAAAAAATCACTCTATCACGCTTGAATTCCATCACGAATAATTTTTCCTCTGAAAAATTCTTACCAAGATGCTTTTGTACGCTTGTAAACAATATAATGAACTGTCACTGGAATAATTTTAACAGCTATTAGGCGAGTGGCTTAGAAATGACAGCAGTCTGAAGTTGGTTGTATACCTAAAATCAGCGGATTACAAGGTTTTTTTTTTTCAATTTTCAAAAAAGTATGGAAGATTGGGGATCTGGCCCACTCTAGGTTATGTTGCGAGTCACTCACATAAAGTAGGAATTCATCCCTAAAAAGCGTTAAGTAATATTTAAACTTTTGATGTCTCCTGAGACCAGTAGTAAAATTTTATGACAAATAATTTTGTAGAACATTTTGACATGCTACGATCCTGTCTGTATAAGTTCGATACTTTGGTTACGCCAAGGTATATGTTCGATACGTTGTCCCCCCTTCTCCAGCATTACAATTAATTACATTAATTGGCCTCTCAGTCGAGATCAATGGGGAAAGCTTCTTTGCCTCTCTTTTAGGAGTCACATTCGCCTAGTTCGGATTGTGGGGGAGAGCTTACGCTCTCTTCTGCACTTTCTCCTAAAAATCATATTCGCTCAGTTCGGATGCAGAGTGGCACTTTCCAATGCTGCGGTCGTCGGCTATTGTGCTCATCTGCAACTACACTTGTCTTTGCGCTCTCGTCGTAACCACACGCAAAGGTAAAGTCTCATTTCGTAGAAACGCACACACTTTACAAATAAACCATTTGCAAATACATATAAACTACATAAAAACATGAAAAATAGACCAAAAACACTCCTTGAGGCTTAAGATGTTCGACAAAAGTAATCCTCGTACACACAAAGATGCAAGGATTGCGTTGAATCTTTATACGAAAATTTCAAAAAATTTCGAAGAGGGAGGATCTTTCTCCAATTATTTACGATACTTTGCGATTAAAGCCTTCAAAATGCCGATATGTGTATTTTCTAAATTTGGCTTTACTTTCATAATCTGATGAGTTTTTCCTATAATTATTTTTTATGTAGCACAGTTTATATTCGTTTTATATCAACCAATCGCAAATATAACACGTTTCACACTATCACTTGTACACACGTACATATACACATACAATACATTTAATTGATTAAGTGTACGATGACGGGAAGTCTTTTCGATAAACAAAAGAAAATCTAATTTCTGTTTCAAAGTTTCTCATTAGTTCTTTTCTCTGTTGATACAATGCTTGGTACAGAACACACAAGAAAAGAGAGAGAGAGACAGAGAGGGAGAGAAATAGGAGGAGACAAGATATGCCACTCTAATGAAATAAAAACTTAATTTTATCCTGTGGTTAGGGAAATTAAGTCAAGTCGTGTTGTCAGACCGTCAAAGTTGTTTGCCACTATTAAAGTCATTTCATTCTAGCTAAAGTTAAGGGGTATAAACTTTTGGGATAAGGCGGGATTTTTGAAAAGTTCTTACTTAAACGGTCCGAAATGAAATTTTTTGATCTAGAATAACTCTTTCATTGGGGCGTTTGCCAAAAAACGAAGTATAAGGGAAATTTTGACTCGGATTCGAAACGTGTTATATTAACAGTAAAAAAGCAAAGACATAATTTTTACTTTTAGATTAAAAATTTTGAATAGAATTTTCAAAAAAAAAAAAACTATTGTTCCTGGATATATGGTTTATTCCGAGATTTATCCTGAAATTGTGTCTAAAATATTTCATCTTTTGACATCTGCGGCTAAAATGAGATTTTACGTTACTTTCAGACGTCCACTCGAAAAAAGTTCGAGAAAAAATTTTTAAAACAAAAATTAGTGAATATTTATTTTCGAGAACCGCGATGCAATAGTTTTTTTTTTTTTTTTTTTTTGATATGCAGTGGAAATAGAGATTTCTTTTCTTTGGTGATTTATAGTGAAGTTTGATGAAGAATATTTTTCTCTTTGACGTCATATTTCCAAAATAATGCTTCGTTGACAATTTTTGCACTTGTTCACACAAAGTACGGCTTTAAACATAATATATGTTTTTAATATATATGAATTCCCGGCGGTCGGTTAAGATTTAAAATATTGGCGCCTTATAGCCGAATTTTATTGCAGATAATTATGTAGAATATTTTGACATGCTACGATGCTCTTTAAGTCGTGTTTTTACCCTCAGCCATATGGCTTAAGCGTGTATATATCATTTGATACGGCCAAAAACGTATCTCATTGAAATAACGGTTTTAGACCCTAGGTCTCTTTGGACCAAATCTGTTTCAGGACATTTGGAGTCAATCTAGCGATGTCCGTCCCTCTGTCTGTCTGTCTGTCTGGCTGGTGCGCACAATAATTATCGCAGGGAGAGTAATCGTAATGTTATTATTAAAATTTAGAGTGAGTTTGGAGATTGGCAATATCGGTCCACTTCTTCCGGTACCTCCCCAACAAAAGGTCGAGATTTTTATACCCTCAGCTATATGGCTACAGAGGGTATATATCATTTCATACTGCCAAAAGGTTCATCATCGAAATAACGGGTCAAATCCGCTTTAGGACACAGCGATATCCGTCCTTCCGCCTGTCTGCTGGCTGGTGCGCACGATAACTCTTGAATATTATTGTCAAACTTAGATCGAGTGCACTCCTTCTGGTACCTCCCCCACACAAAAGGTCAACATTTTAAAAGAAAATATTTTTTTATAGGATAATCCGACTTTGCCCCAACTTTGCATATCCTAATATTAGCATCAGTACAATGTGAGGTGAGAAAATGGACAATATCGGTAAACTCAATGAATTACCTCCGCCACAAAGCATCAACAATTTGAATAATTATAGCTAACAACATGTGAAATAAGAGTCCGATTGCCTTCGAATTACACACATCACAATTTTTTTACTAACCCAGGATTTCGCGTGATGATGGAATATATCGGTCCACTCCTTCTGGAACCTTCTCCACAAAGGTTAAACATTTTCAATATCCATGTAGCTCATAAAACGCGAAATTAACACCAGATTCCATTCAGACTTGGATGATGTAAGAGACCGATTGTCTTCAAATTTCACATATCCCAATAATTTTATTACCCCAAGGTCCGGTACCAAGATGGAATACATACCTCCTCCACAATGGGTCAAAATTTTGAGTATCCATGAAGCTCGTAAAACGCAAAATTTTCATCAACACAAGATCTGTTAAAAAAATGGTAGAGATCGGTCCATTTTTTCTGGCACCTCCCCACATAGGGTTCAAGATTTTTAAAAACAAAACGCTCAAGGAATTCGAAAAAAGACATCCATCCATCTCCTCAAATATCCCACATACAGACATTATTTCTAACACAAGATCTGTTGTGAAGATGATATACATCTGCCAACTTATAACTGTCATAACTTGCGAAACAAGTCGGCGATTCTTTACAACTTGCTATATCTAAATATTTTTCTTAACCAGAATCGGAACTTATGATTTCGCATAAAATTGGAAACGAATGTTCGATTTCCTTCAAATTTTGCACATACCAATTTATTTTATCTGTATTAGATGAAGTATAAACATGGAATACTACGGTCCGCTATATCTGTTACCTGACGCATATTTCCGAAAATGTGCACATATCTCATATAAAGTACAAGAAGTAGTCGATATAGTCCAAATCTGTCACGTTCATAACTCAAGGCTGAGGGTATACATCTGTCGGCAAAACCGGCTGATACTATGTTACTTGTTTTGTTTGCATTGTACAGTGGTAGTCCTTCAATGAATAAAACAGGTAAAGGTAAACCTCGATTTCAAGTATTTTTACGCTTTAGACATATTTTCCACCCAATTTCACCAAATCTTGGTATTTTGAGTGAGAAGTAGAAACAATTTATAAATATGGGTCAACGCATCGTAACATTCCCTTTATTAAAGCAACCTCCTAATGTTAGGTATTCTTCAGACAAGACATCACAATAATCATTTGAATTTTATTGATTCTCGTAATGTTTTATTAAGTCATTTTGTCATTAGCATATTTAGGCTGGAATATCAGAATACATCCAGCCATATTCGTTTTCACGCAATTCACTGCCCTTTTGTATTCCTGGGGATAGCAGCATTTTGGTATATCATACGTATGTGTGGTTGTACCATTCTGATACCAAAGTATTGCACCATCTAGCCGTGAGGAACACACAAATGTCTTTGGCGATCCGTAGTCGAAAACATTTTTAATTTCTTTTACCTCATAATTGGGATTGTTGTATTCTATATATTAGAAGAGAAAACATTTTTTTTTTCGAAACATTATCCATGTCTTTGTAACTCGAAGTGAATGGAAAACTTACCACCATTTTTATATGCCAATACCATAACTTGAAACTGCTTAACATTTTCAGTTTGTTCGCTGAGCTTTAGGCAATTCTGCCTGGCAATTTCATATAAATACTGTTGATTTTTAACTATATAGTGAAAGCCAAATTTATCGGTTGCCACCAACCATGGACCTGAGTATTGATGACTCAGCTTGGTTTTTAAAACGCACACAATTAGGAAAATTAATACATTTTTTATTTCGATAGAAATATAGAACATATTTTGTTGTTTATGTTTTACGAGGATGCCGATGAGTGATTGTTGAAGAAACAATTGTTGTCAGTGTTTGTTTTTTTTTTTTTTTTTGTTGCTGTGCGTTTTGTGCCCACTCACATCGCTCATTTACTCAAAGAGTGCCTCACATCTCAACTCAACTCAATTCAGTTTTGAGTAAAACGCAATTTAAGTTATCAATTAAATTAATTACACAAAAATAAAATACTACTACTCTCACAACTACACTGTGTAATATAAAACAATATTTAAAAAAAAATCCAGCAGATTATTAAAATAGAGCATTTGAGTTTTTGAAAGTCTACATCGAGAAGAAACCAAAACAGAAGGGGCAAGTTTTCCCCTCTTCAACACTTTTGAAAAATTTGAATACGATTCCTCGAAAGATAAGAATACAATGGACTATATTGGTCGAAAAAAGGGGTATCTTTGGTTATTTTTTTAATACAGTTCAAAACACCCTTTAAACGGTGAGATGAAGAAACTGCAAACAACTTCAGACCGCTGTCATTTCTAAGCCACTCGTCCGACAGCTGTTAAAATTATTCCAGTGACAGTTCATTATATTGGTTACAAGTGTACAAAAGCATTTTGATGAGAATTTTCCAGAAAAAAAAGTTATTCGTGATGGAATTCAAGGCTGATGGTGTGAATTCTTTATATTTGGCTGGAAAACAACAAGTGGCTATCGTTAGACCACTCCAGCATTTAAATGTGAATAAATCTTTTGTGTCTCGTAACATCGTTCGTTACCGTGATACTGGTAGCGTAGCCCGAGGTCAAGGAAGTGCACGGCAAAACAAAATGGTTGGAAAAATAAAGCAGCGACTTGATCGAAACCCGCGTCGCAATGGCCAAAAAATGGATCGTGAGCTGAACATATCGCAATATTCCATTCGGCAAATATTGAAAAATGAGCTCGGGCTAAAGCCATTGAAATTCCAAAAAGTGCAAGGACTTACACCGCAATAGAAAGAAAATAGACTCAGAAGAGCTAAAGAGTTACTTCGCTTGGCCGAAAGTTGTGAAATGCCGAATTTGGGTTTCTACGCTCCAATGAGAAAATATTCGTTGTCCAGCAGTTTGTAAACAAACAAAATGATGGTGTTTACTTGCCAAAGAGGTCAGCTGAAAATGTGCACCTTCCTTTGGCCACCAAAACTCAAGCGCCGGCCATGGTGATGGTGTGGGCCGCCATAACAGCCGATGGTCGCTTTCCGCTCGTATTAATCGACCGTGGCATCAGAATAAATCCCGAATATTATCGCGAAAATATTCTAGAGGGTGTATTAAAGCCTTGGGCACGCAAACATTTTGGCCGCAGACCTTGGACATTCCAACAGGACTCAGCACCATCGCACTCAGCACGCGCCACCCAAAAATTGTTACAAAATGAGGTTCCTCGTTTCATTTCCAGCGCACAATGGCCACCAAAGTCTCCGGATACCAATCCGTTGGACTATTGTGTCTGGAGTTTTTTGGAAATCAAGGTTGGCACTAAAAAATACCAAAGTGTCGAACACCTCAAGCAAGCGCTTCGCCGGGAATGTGCCAAAATACCGCAGAGCAACATTCAGGCAGCGTGTGATGTTTTCATTGGCCGTTTGATGGTTTTAATTCGTGCCCAAGGTGACCAATTCGAACAAATCTAAAATTATTGTAAAATTTGATGCTATTTCCGTTTGACTTTGTTGCAGTTCTTTTTATCTTACCCTGTATATATCTAAAAAATGGTTTCCAAGGAATCTTAATCCAATATTTTCTAAAAGTGTGGAAAAGTGGAAACATCTCCCCTCTATTTTAATCTCCACTTTCGTAATTTGCTGGATTTTCCCCATAATTTTTGAAAAATTGTTTTGTTTAGTTGCAAATATGCATATGTAAATGCTTTGCAGATGAATGCTTTTAACAAACTTCCTATGCATTTTTTGATTGTTCCAAACACACGAGAGTCTCTTCAATTTGGCATAAAAATGTCTGTGGTTAATTGAATCTCTAGAATTTTTATTCAAAAATTCATAAAAAATTACAATCGAAACTAGTCAATCGTAGAGTGTCTTGTGAGTAACACAGACAAACAAGTTGCCTGATAGAACAATGAATTTCTCTCAGTTCGCGGTGGCATTACTCTTTACCGCGGTTTGTGTTTCGAAACCAAACTTGAGTCATCAGTCGCCATCCTCCGATCAATGGTTGGTGGCTACAAATCACTTTGGTTATCCATTTTTAGTTCTAAATCGTTCCTATCAGCATGACGAATGCATTCTGGCATGCTACGAGCTAAATACGAAAAACACGAATACCGAATATGAAATTATGCTCTTGACACCAGCCAATGGTATGTATGAGGGTGTGTGTGTGTACCTTAAAATTATTTACATTTAAAATATATTGCCTTTTTAGAATATTCCACGGACAGATATTATGTGGAGCAGGTCGGCAACAAACTGGTTTACATGCCAGATCAAACGTTTGTCTGCGCATCGCCCCTGCAAGGGGCAATTGTGTGGTACAGGAACGGCTCAACGAAATATTTCGATGTCTATGACATACCCATACTGTGTCATCCACAGCTGAAACAGGAACGGCATGATTTGGCGGGATGTATATTAATTCATAGATTCGATTATAATAAAATACCCATAGCAATTTAAGTGCAGAGAAGATGCGAGTATTTGTCTCAGTTTGTTTTGATTAAAACCCCGAATTTTCATTCCTTGCTCTAGCTTTGAAATAAAAACAGGAGCAAAAAAAAATTGAATTACCAAAGAATAGTGTTGGCATGTCTTTTCGGGATACCGTAGTATTTTGTTGTTGCAAAATTGTCAGGCATATGATACTATAAAACACTACAATATGTGAGAAGCCCCCTTATGTTGAAAACCATTTTGGAAGATTTTGCTTTTAAAATTATATCACGGAGCACTGTCCAGATATTACTCTTAGCATTTTGACCAGAGACATTTGCCTAATATTAACGCACTCCGTCTTGCTCTCTTCTCAGGTGTGTCGATTGGCTTCAATTGCGTGATCAGGAATTTTTTCTGTTTTTGTATCATTTGAGCCCCTAAATATTTTGCAATCATCTCCAAAAACAAGAGGCCCCTCTGAATCACCAAATTTAGATTTATCTAGATGATTTGCTTGTTTATGATATTTGGTTATATTCGTCAACAAAATAAGCATAAAAAAGATAGAAGTTCGATTTATTCCGCCTATATTTCGGATATCGCCTGTAAATAATACTGGTATGTTTTACACAAACGCAGTCGTCCATTCTATCCGCTGCCCTAAACTCGAACTTCCTGCGAGATTTCGTGTCCTTTGGTTTCTATTTGTGACCTTTATAACGGCTGCAAATCAGGAACATTTTTAGTTGTTGGTCCATTTCAACCCAAACAAAATATATTGCGGACATCTTTGAAAACAATGGGCCTAGCCCCTCTGACCCTAACTCTACCCTTGTGAAAATTTTTGTGAGGTTCGCACGATAATTGTAATCTGTATATATTATCACCCCAACCTGTGTTGTAAGGTGAAAAAATATTACAAAATATACACTTCAATATTTTAAGTCAAATTGAAAAAATCGCATGCGATAAAAAATATGAAAAAATAAAAAAATGTCATAAAATAATCGAAATCTATATTATCATCATTAGATTTCATACTTTTATGCAAAGAGGGCATTCTGAATTGACAAAATTTGTCAAAATCGGTCCAGCCATTCTTGAGATATAAGCATTTTATATATGTATTGCATATATTTCGCTATATATATCCGATATTTTTAGTATCGGCATCTGCGTAACGGTCAGGATTGACCTGTTCGTTTTTTATGATTTTGCAGGGATTAAACATATTCGGGGTTTAACGAAAAATTTGACTTTTATTTAACACAAATTTTATGGCCTATTTCACCCACTAAATATTACCCGATGACCATCAAAATTGGAATGCTTCTGACTAAGCTCTAGAACCATGCCAATTTTCGCTTCGATTGGTCTATTTGACTTTTATTTAACACAAATTTTATGGCCTATTTCACCCACTAAATATTACCCGATGACCATCAAAATTGGAATGCTTCTGACTAAGCTCTAGAACCATGCCGATTTCCGCTTCGATTGGTCTAAAATTGCGACCTGTAGAGCAGCTGCAAAATCAGGAAATTTTTCAGTTTTTGGTCCATTTCAACCCCTAGATATTATGCGATCATCTCCAAAAGAAATAGGGTTCTATTCTGGCCCTATCCCGACCTCCATTCCTAATTTCATGAAGATCGGGCCCTAATTGCAACCTGTAGAGTGATTACAAACTAACATGGACAGACGGACATACATAGCTAGATCGACTCAGCTCGGCGAGATAGGAAGATCCATATATACTTTCCTATGTGGGAAACCAATATTTCGAGGTGTTACATAATTTTTGGCCCAATCAAACTTATAATACCCCCAACACATAGTGTTGTAGGGTATAATTAGGAAATATTTTCGTACTTTTCGGGAACATTGCTGTAAATATGTTGGTGTACAGTAGAAATGGAGATTTAATTTCTTTGATGAAATTTGATGAAGAACATTTTTGTCTTCGACACTATCCTTCTAAAATAATGCTGTGTTGGATATTTTTACACAAATTTTCCGATTAAGGGGTTTAAAGTCTTTCACATGCGTAATATGCACTCCACAAGAATAATATTTGGCACTGAGCATCAGATACTGCTCGAAAATACCTCTGTCAAATTTAATCGAGATTGGTTTAGATTAGGATAAAGCTCACATACATATCTTTATCCGATCTCAGGTTTATTGTGCACCAAATGGCTAATGTCAGAACAAATGAACTGAATTTTGACAATTACGACTGAATTCATCCTATAAACCATTACTTAAAATATGGAGTAAATCGGTTCAGATATAGCTACCATATCTATGTTTTATCCGATTTGGGGATTAAAGTCACTCACGAGCTTAATATGCATTCCACAAAAATCATCCTTGGTAGCAGATATTAGAAACTTCACAGCTGTATCTAAGTGTATAACATTTTATCAAGATCGCTTCAGATTTGGATATAGGTCCCACATGTATCTTCAACTAACTTTGGTTCAATTGTGCACCAAATAGCCAATATCAGTCCAAAAGTCCTGAATTTTGGTACATCCGACCGAATTCAGTGTAGAAGCAAATATATTGAATTTAGAGAAAATCGTTTCATATGTTTTATCCGATTTGGTTTTTAAGTCACTCAAATCCGTAATAAGCATTCGACAACAATGATATTTGGTACAATATATCTTATAAAGCTCGGAAATACCTTTGCCAAATTTGATCTAGATCGGATAAGATTAAGATATAGCTCCATTATATATCCTTAATCCGATTTCAGGTTTATTGTGCGAATAATGGGTTATATCAGCGGAAATGGACTGAATTTCGTGATGTACGTTTCCACTCGGCTCCGACATATTTTTAATATATTTTTTAATATAATCATTCTCGAAGCGATATCATGCACTCTATAGCAATGTTATTTGTATAAAATATTAAAATGTCTCCACCAAATTTATTGAAAATCGATTCAGAATTGAATATGCCTTGTATATCTTAGTTCTCTCTGAATCCAATCTAGGGGTGTAGGGTATCATGTAGTCGGCCCCGCCCGATTATTGACTTTTTCTTACAGGTTTTTATCTTCAATATTGGCGAAGACACAACATACATAAAATGCACAGATTCCGAGCAAGATTAATCCGAAAAATTCAAAAAGTGCAGAAGAGCAGGGGACTTGCCTCCTCTATTTTGGTTACTTTCAAAACGGCTACACACATGTCATCTTTTGTAGTTCTACTTTCATAACACACTTTGTTTTCCCCGAAATTATTGTTAAAAAATATATATAAGTTTTGGACCGATCTGGTGTTTAAGTCCATTATCTTCGCAATATGCACTCCAAAACAATGATATTTGGTCTCAGATATCTCATACAGCTCAGAAATATATCTGCCATATTATATTGAGATCGGTTTAGAGTTGGATATAGCAAATTTACTTCAAATTTTGGACAATAGCGGTCCACTCCATCAAGTACCTCCACAAAGGGTCAACATTTTAAATAGTTATAGCTCTTATAACATGTAATGTATGAGTCACATTGTCTTCAAGTTACACACATCACAATATTTTATTAACCTAAGGTCTGGTGTTAAGATAGAATATACCGGTCCACTCCTCCTGATACCTCCCCCACAAAGGATCATAATTTTGAATATCCATGAAGTTATAAAACGCGAAACTAATATTCGATATCTTCCAGACTTGGTGCATCTCAGTATTTCCCTCAACACAAGATCTGTTATAAAGATGGTAGAGATCGGACTATTTCTTCTGGTACACCCCCCAAAAAGAGTCAAAGTTTTGAATAACCAAAACGATTAGAAAACCTGAAATATGCATCCGCCTGTCTTGATATTTCACATATCCCATTATTTCCACTAACACAAGATCTACTGTGAAGATGGGATATATCGGCCCACTTCTTCTGGTACCTCCCCCACAAAGGATCAAAGTTGCGAATATCCATGAAGCCCATAAAACGAGAAATTATTATCCAACTCCATTCAGACTTGGCAAATCTTAAAATTTCTAAGATCTGTCATAAAGATGGTAGAGATCGGAACATTCCTCCTGGCACACCCCCCAAAAAGAGTCAAAGTTTTGAATAACCAAAACGATTAAAAAACCTGAAATACGCATCCGCCTATCTTGATATTTCACATATCCCATTATTTCTACTAATGCAAGGTCTACTGTGAAGATGGGATATATCGATCCACTTATTCTGGTACCTCCCCCAAAGCATCAAAGTTGTGAATATCCATGAAGCCCATAAAACGCGAAATCAATATCCGATTCCGTCCAGACTTGGCACATCTCAATATTGCCATCAACACAAGATATGTTATACAGATGGTAAAGATCGAACCATTACTTCGGGTATCTATTTGGTATTTGAAGTTCGAAATATATACTACAGCCTAAGTCAGAAAATTGTTTGTGCAGGTCCACGTCTTCATATAGCCCCCATATACCGGTACCTCCCGATATTCGGTATTTTGATGATTTTAGCGACATTATTCACCGGAATTGTTTCAAATTTGGTATTTTAAGTTCGAAATATATACCACAACCTAAGACAGAAAATTGTCTGTGCAGATCCACGTCTTCGTATAGCCCCGGTACCGTTATATACCTCCCTGTATTCGGTATTTTGATGATTTTAGCGACATTGTTCACCAGAATAGTTTCAAATTTGGTATTTAAAATGTATAATAGATACTACAGCCTATGACAGAAAATTGTCTATGCAGTTTCACGCCTTCGTATAGCACCCCATATAACGGTACCTCCCAATACTCGGTATTTTGATGATTTTAGCGTCATTCTTAACCGGAGTAGTTTTAAATTACGTATTTAGAGTTTGTAATGGGAACTACAGTCTGTGACAGAAAATTATCTATGCAGGTCCAGGTCTTCGTATAGGCCCCATATATCAGCACCTCCCCATATTCCGTATTTTGACGATTTTAGGTACAATACTCAAATATCGTATTTGAAGTTCGTAATGGATGCTACAGCTACATTAATCACCGTTTACTTCAAGTTGCATATGGTAATGGCTTACGACAAACAATTTTATTTTTTTTATGTTTTAAAATTTTCCAAATTCATTCAAAATGGTGGAGGGCATTCAAAGTTCGGCCCAGCCGAATTTACTCATTTTAAACTTGTTTTTTAAAAATTTCGCAATGTTTTCTCTTCAATTTAGCAAAATTTTAGCATTTTTATACCCTACACCACAAGGTGGTCAGGGTATTATGTCTTTGTGCATTTGTTTGTAACAGGCGAAAGGAAACGAGATAGACCCATAGTTCCTTTTGATGATCTGCATAGAATCACATTCTGAGTCGATTTATGCATGTCCGTCCGTCCGTCTGTCCGTCCGTCCGTCTGTCCGTCCGTCCGTCTGTCCATGTATTTTTGTAAACAAAGTACAGGTCGCATTTATTGCCCGATCCAGATGAAATTTTGCACAAATCATTTGTTCGGCCCAAGGACGAACCCTATTGAAATTGGAGATAATCGGTCAAAATTTAGATATAGCTCCCATATATATCTTCGTCCGATTTGTCTTTTGTTGTGCACCAAACGTGTAATATCAGTCCGAACAGTATGGAATTTCGCACGTACGATCAGATTGAACCTCAAAATAAGTATGCCAAATTTCATCGAAATCGGTTCAGATATAGCTATAGCTCCCATATATATTGTTCATCCGATTTGTTATTTTTGTCCTCCGCAGCCGTAATATGCACTCTGTAACAACAATATTTGGTGAAATTTATCAAATACAGCTCAGAAATACATTTGCTAAATTTCATCGAGATCGCTTCAGATTTGGATATAGCTCCCACATATAACTTCGTCCGATTTACATTGGATTGTGCACCAAATGTCTAATATTTGCCCAAATTGGATGAAATTTGGCACTTACAACCGAATTGAGTCTAGAAGCTAGTATGTCAAATTTAGTGAAGATCGGTTCAGATATAGCTATAGCTCCCATATATACTGTTCATCCGATTTGTCATATTTGTTACCCACAGCCGTAATATGCACTCCGTAACAACGATATTCAGGGAAATATATCTAATAGAGCTCAGAAATATCTTTGCCAAATTTTATCGAGATTGGTTCCGATTTGGATATAGCTCCCATATATATTTTTTATCCGATTTCAGATTAATTGTGCACCAAATGGGCAATACAAGTCCGAATTTAAAAGATACAAATGCTTCGTCATATTTAGTCCTTGAACTTTAAATTATAATTATAATCATAGCGTGTATGATTGAATTCTCCCATAAAAACTTTTAATTGTTATGCGCAGCTCAACTAAATTAGCAAAGTGGTGTAGGGTATCATAAAGTCGGCCCCGCCCGACTTTAAGACTTTCTTTACTGGTTCTTAAATAGTAATGTTATTTACGAAAAAATATTATTATAGGTCCAACTTTCGATATAGCCCATTTATAAGGATATGTCCTGATTTTAGATGTTGCTAGGATCTTGGCCAAAATTTGACTTTGGTTGGATAATGAATAATGTTATAGCAATTGATGGGTTTCAGGTTCACCGCTGTACATGTATACCAAAATACATCCAGCCATATTTATTTCGGAGCATTTCCCTTTGTCCTCTTGTGGATAGCAGCACTTTGGAATATCATATGTATGTGTTGTTGTGCCGTTTTTATTCCAAAGTATGGCACTATTAAGTCGAGTCGAGCACACAAATGTTTTCGCCAATCCATAATCAATGTAATCACTAATTTCCTCCACCTTATACCTGGCTTTTTGGGTTCCTAAGTGGAAAAATAAATTCAATCAATTTAATTCTGATATACGTAGATTTGTTTAAATTAGATATCTACTATCGTATGTTGTTCTCAGCACCATTATTAGAAATTGATTGTTATTTTGATTCATTCCGTTCAGCTCCAAACATTTATTCTTGGCAACTTCATGAAAATACTCCTGGTTTTGTACGACATAGTGGAAGCCAAACTTATCGGTTGCCACCAACCATGGACCAGAGTAATCACGACTCAGTGTCGTGTGTAAAAAGCAAATACCAAGAAAAACTAATAAAATATTCATTTTAATCGGAAGATGAAGAAGAACGCTTGAAAATGTTTTCTTTTGAATGTTTGGCGTTAGAAAGTTTGCCAGCGACTATAGAGAAGCGTTAGCGATACAGTTTTAACGAGAATGAAACCACCATTGTTCATAGCCATTAGTCAGCTATGGGTCTCACTAGTTATTTATAATGTTCACCACAAATATTTGGGGTTACAGCCAAACCAAGCCCTAGCAAAAACACGGATCCGATTCAAATTCGGAATCCGGAATCATTTTTCACCATGATGCTGCAAGGTGTTGCATATGCAATTTTTTTCAATATGCAACCAACATTTCTATAACCAACATTTCCATCGAATGTTATCTGATGGATTCAGGGTGCTTAAATCGAGCATATACATCGAGCAAGTAAAATAGTATCAGTTAGTTTTGCCGAAAGATGTATACCCCCAACCTTGTGTTATGATTATTCAAATTGTTGGCCCTCCATGGAATAGGTTCCGAAGCAGTAGACCAATATTGAGCAATTTGTATCGGACCTAAGACTGAAATAAACATTACAACGTAACAGATTTGGATTATATCGACTACTTCCTCCACTTTATGTGTGATATATGGAAATTTTTGGCAAATGTGGAAATATGCGTAAGGTAGGAGATATAACGGATCAAAATATTCCATTTTCATACTTCAGCTAAAAGAGATAAAAATATTGGAATGTGCAAAATTTGAAGGGAGATAGAACATTTATATCCAATGCGAAATCATAAATTTCGAGAAATCATATATTCATATCAGATTTCTGGTTCAGAGTAATATTTAGATATAACAAGTTGTAAAGAATCGCTAACTCCTTTAGCTGTAATGACAGAAAAAGTATTGAAAATTGTGACTCTTTGTGAGTGAGGTACCAAAAGAGGTTCGCCGATATATATCATCTTCACAACAGATCGATTTGTACCACAAAATCTTGAACCCTATGTGGGGAAGGGGGAAGAAATATTGCGATATACCAAATCTGAATGGCGTTTTATGAGCTTCGCGGACATTCAAAATGTTGTGGGGGTGGTGCCAGAAGGAGTGGACCATTATATCCCATCTTCACATCAGATCTAGTGTTAATAGAAAGAATGGGATGCGTGAAATATGAAGACAACCGAAAGCCCATTTTGGATTCTATAATCGTTTTGGAAATTCAGAAACTTTGACCCTTTATGAGGGAGGTACCTGAAAAAATAGTCCGATCCACCTGTATAACAAATCTCGTGTTGATGGAAATACTGAGAAGTACCAAGATTAATTGGAATAGGATGTTAATTTTGCTCTTTATGAGAGATATAATTATTCAAATTATTTAACCTTTGTGGAGAAGGTACTTGATGGAGTGGGCCGATATTGTCGATTTTCACAGCTGACCTAGCACTGATGAAAATATTACGATTTGCAAAGTTGGGGCCAAATCGGATTATCCTTCCTCTTTTATTATAATATTTTATTTGAAAATGTCGACCTTTTTTGGGGACGTACCAGAAGGAGTTGACCGATATTACCCATCTCTGAACTCGTTCTAGGTTTGATAATAATATTACGATGTAAATTATTTGCTGTGAAAATGTTAATGTATCAGAAGGAATGGACCGAACTCGATCTACGTTTGATAATTATTTTGCGATGTACAAAGCTGGGACCAAATCAGATACTCCTTTCGAGGGTTATCGCACCAGCCAGACAGACAGAGAGGCCGACAGATATCCCTAGATCGACTCCATATGTCTTGAAATGGATTTAGTCCAAAGATACCTAGAGTTAAACAAGTTAAAAAGCAGTAAGTTCGACCGGGCCGAATTTTAAATACCCTCTACCATTTGGAACGAATTTGGAAATTTTCAAAAAATTAAGTCCTTAAAAAAATCTGTTAAAATTTTAGAAATACCGAATATAGCCGTTATTTTGGGGTCTATACGACGTGGACCTACATAGGCCTTGTTTGTTATAAGCCATTACCATATTCAAATTCGAAACTTGAAATAAACGGTGAATAATGTAGCTAAAATCATCAAAATATCGTATATAGGGAGGTACCGTTATATCGGAGCTGTGCGAAGACCTGGACCAGCTTAGACAATTTTTAGTCACAGGCTGTAGGATCCATTACGAACTTTAAATACGACAACTTAAGCAATTTCGATAGGTTTTGTACCTAAAGTCGTCAAAATACCGAATATTGAGAGGTACTGATATATGGGGCCTATACGAAGACCTGGACCTGCATAGAAAATTTTCTGTCACAGGCTGAAGCATCCATTACGAACGTGAAATACGACATCTCAAAAAATTTCGGTGGGTATTGTACCTACCGAATATAGGGATGTACTGATATATGGGGCCTATACGAAGACCTGTACCTGCATAGACAATTTTCTGTCACTGACTGTAGTTTCCATTACGAACTCTAAATACGTAATTTGAAGCAATTCCGTTAAATGATAACGCTAAAATAATCAAAATACCGAATTTTGGGAGGTATCGTTATATGGGGGCTATACGAAGACGTGGACCTACACAGACAATTTTCTGTCATAGGCTGTAGTATCCATTACGAATCTCAAATACAAAATTTGAAACAATTCCGGTGAATAATGTCGCTAAAATCATCAAAATACCGAATATCGGGAGGTACTGTTATATGGGGGCTATATGAAAACGTGGACCTACATGGCCCATTTACGAACTTAACCTGCCTACTGGAAAACCCTACTTCTATCTCAATTCGTTCGAAAGATAGCGTGATTACAACAGATAGACAGACAGACGGACAAACAGACAGACCGACATGGCTAAATCGACTTAGATTTTTACGCTGATCAAGAATATATATACTTTGTTGGGTCTGACATGAGTATTTCGAGGAGTTACAAAGGGAATGACAAAGTTAATATACCCTCCATAGTATGGTGGAGGGTATAAAAACGTTATTTTGATGAGGCACGTTATGGAGTTTTTAAATGATATGTACCCTTTGTAGGCCCCTGAGGGTATAAAAATATTACCCGGATTTTTGCCACTAATTTTTCCGATGATACAACATACCTAAAATAAATGGATTCCAATGTATCCTAACTGAAATATTTTCAAAATTGTAAAAGTGGACAGAACTTTCTCTCTTCTATTTTCGTTTCCTCCCGATGTAAGGTTTCATAATGCCCATATAGATGTCCAATAATTTTTGCTTCAATGATCCACTCGCTTGAAATTATTTTTTGTGTACCACAGTATTATTGGTATTTTGAAGGTCCTAACAACTTTTTTAAATTCAATGTAGACCACGCCAAAAATTAATGCACTTTTTTTAAAAAAATATTCCAACCCAACTAAATTCGCAATACTTTAAATTTAGTTTGTTATTCTTGATGATTCAATCAGTTGATTACGTAAGTCTTGAGTATTCTCCCATTGGCTTGACTTCATATTACTCTCTATTAATGTGAGCAATTTTTTCAAAATGAAAATGACAGACTTGCAATATTTGCTGATCGCTAGCAATATAATGATTTTATCCCGCCGAGGGGTACGGTCATTTGGCTTTTTCATCTTTATACCCTACACCACATAGTGGTAAGGGTATTATGTATTTGTGCATTTGTTTGTAACATGGAGAAGGAAGCGAGATTGACCCATAGTTACTTTTGAGGATCTCCATAGAACCACTTTCTGAGTCGATTTATGCATGTCAGTCCGTCCGTCCGTCTGTCCATGTATTCTTGTGAACAAAATGCAGGTCGCATTTATTATCCGATTGAGATGAAATTTTCCAAACAACATTTGTATGGCCCAAGGACGAACCCTTTTGAAATTGGAGATAATCGGTCAAAATTTAGATATAGCTCCCCTGTATATCTTCGTCCGATTTGCCTTTTATTGTGCACCAAACGTGTAATATCAGCCCGAATAGTATAAAATTTTGCACATACAACCAAATTAGGCCTGAAAATATGTATGCCAAATTTGATCGAAATCGGTTCAGATATAGCTATAGCTCCCATATATTGTTCATCAGATCTGTTATTTTTGTCCTCCGCAGCCGTAATATACACTCTTTAACAAAAATTTTTGGGGAAATATATCAAATGCAGCTTAGAAATACCGTTGCTAAATTTTATCGAGATTGGTTCAAATTTGGATATAGCTCCCATATATTACTTTGTCCGATTTACCTTTTATTGTGCCCCAAACGTCTAATATTTGCCCAAATGGGATGGAATTTGGCACATACGACCGAATTGAGTCTAGAAGCTAGTATGCCAAATTTGGCGAAGATCGGTTCAGATATAGCTATAGCTCCCATATATATTGTTCATCCGATTTGTTATATTTGTTATCCACAGCCGTAATATGAACTCCGTAACAACGATATTCAGGGATATATATCAAATACAGCTCAGAAATATCTATGCCAAATTTTATCGAGATTGGTTCAGATTTGGATGTACCTCCCATATATATCTTTATCTGGTTTCAAATTAATTTTGCCATAATGAGCAATACAAGTCCGAAGATACAAATGATTCGGCATATTTAGTCCCTTGAACTTTAAATGATACTTATAATCATAGCGTGTATGATTGAATTCTCCCATAAAAACTTTTAATTGTTGATGTGAACTCAACTAAATTAGCAAAGTGGTGTAGGGTATCATAAAGTCGGTCCCGCCCGACATTAGGACTTTCTTTACTGGTTTTGATATGACAACTTTTGGAAAAAAGAAACTCTATAAGTTTTCCTTATTCACAAGTGAATGAGAATCACACTCATTGTAACCATGACCAAAACAAATATTGCTCTCTCTTATAGAAGGTTTTGTGAAGTTAATCTAAGAAGGAAATACCCCACACTGAAGCAACCCATTAATTACTAACATCACGCGAAAACGCGTCATTTTTACGTATATTTTTAAATACATCAATTCAGCCAGCTTTATTCATACGAACTAAAATGCATGCCGCATAATTATATTCCCGAAAGTACTCCACTTTGAATTTCTCCTGGGGGTGACAGCATCGCGGCAATGTTGTTTCCATTACATTATAATAGACAGATGTACCATTGCCATAGAGGAGTATGGCACCCTGGAGTGGTGCCGAGCACACAAAAGCCCGACCCGATTTATACAAACCGTTTTCGAATTTCTCATTTATTAGCTGCACATAATAATTGGGACTGGGACGAGCTGGGAGAGAGAGAAGAAAAATCGCCTTCTTACAAAAAAATTCGATCATTTATCAAAACTGATATTTACCATGATCCGATGTTAAAAGCATTATTTTAAATTCTACCGCATTTTCGCTGCCATTATTGAGTTCCGAACATTGCTCTGTGACATTCGAATACGACTGCTGTTCGCCGAGTACAAATACCAAGTGGGGGATGATGGTCTCGTTTTTTGCCACTAACCACTGACCTTCATATGGGTGGCTGAACTGTATTTGAGAAATGAAGCCGATAATAAATGCGAAGAATTTTAAGACACTCAGTGTATACATTTTTTTGTTATATTTTTTGTTGTTGTTTATTGTATGAGAATCCACAAGTGACTGTTGGAAAAAAATACGAATTTCAAAATAATGTTTAAGAAATCAAAAACCATAATAATTTTATGATTTTTAAAATCTTCTTTGAATGGGCTATTATATGTAATTTTCTGGTGCGGTTTTTTTAAAAGCCAATTCATGCATTTCTAGAATTCTTGAGGGGGAATTTAAAACACTTTGATCCGAAAAATAATGGGAAAAAATTTAAAAAGGTTCTCTAACGTAAAACTGACTGGTATTTAACATAATTCGATATACTCAACGTCTTTTTCAGGAATCTTTTTCTTCCAAGGGTCACACTTTTGTTTTACCGGTGACTGAACATATATTCGTTCTTTTCCGATTCACGCTAAGATTCCGATTAACGTTGAGTCGAATCTTGATCTATAACTCATTTTTAGCAGTGTTGTAACGTCCTTATCTCTGAAGGTCCATAGAATACTGCTAAGCTATCAATATGCAGCACAGTGTAGCCAAAAGGGTTTTTTATACCCTCCACCATAGTATGGAGGGTATATTAAGTTTGTCATTCCGTTTGTAACACCTCGAAATATACATTTTAGACCCCACAAATAATATATATTCTTGATCAACATAAAATTCTATATCGATTTAGTGATGTCCGTCCGTCTATTCGTCTGTGGAAATCACTCTAGCTTCCAAACGAATTGAAATAGATTGAAAAAAATTTACTCAAATGTATATTATATCTGCAGGACTTTTGTTATTGAAAATGGTGGTCATGTAGGTCCACGTTTTGGTATAGCCCCCATACAACGGTACCTCCCGATATTCGGTATTTTGATGATTTTAGCGACAATATTCACCGGAATTCTTATAAATTTGGTATTTAATGTTCGAAATGGATATTACAGCCTAAGACAGAAAATTGTCTGTGCAGGTCCACGTTTTCGTATAGGCCCCTTTTTAACGGTACCTCCAGATATTCGGTATTTTGAGGATTTTAGCGACACTATTCACCGGAATTGGTATTTGAAGTTCGGAATGGATATTACAGACTATGACAGACGATTGTCTCTGCAAGTCCACGTTTTCGTATAGCCCCCATATAACGGTACCTCCCGATATTCGGAATTTTGATGTTATAGCTAAATTATTCACCGATTTTTTTAGTTTTGCATTTGAATATTATAATGCTTATGACAAAATTTACCTATGTAGGTCCATGTCGTCGTATAGACCCAAATATAACAGCTACATTCTGTATTTGTAAATGTAAACAGAATTTTTGACGGATTTTATTGTTTTTGAGAAGTGCCAAATCTTTTCCAAATGGTGGAGGGTATTCAAAGTTCGACCCGGCCGAACTTACAGTTTTTTTTTTCTTGTTTTTATATAAATCCATGTTATCCTAACGGATAAAGATAGAGGTGGTGTAATTCGAAGGACATTTTCCAACAAAACCTTAGCAGCACTATATATGCAGGGTGCGATAAAGAAACTGTAACAAAGTCAAACGCCATCATTTTCATATTTTTATTAAAATTTTATTGAATGGAAGCAACAAATGTCGGAAACAGCATCAAATTTTAGAATAAGTTTAGTTTTGTTTGAATTGGTCAAATTTGACACGAATAATGGTCTTCGAACCGCTAATGAAACCGCCACAAGCTGCTCGAATGTTGCTCTGCCGTATTTTGACCCATTCCCGGCGAAGCGCTTGCTTGAGATGATCTACAGTTTAGTATTTTTTAGTGCCAACCTTGCTTTCCAAAATACTCCAGACACAATAGTCCAACGGATTGGTATCTGGAGATTTTGTTGGCAATTGTGCGCTGGAAATGATGCGAGTGCGATGGTGCTGAGTCTTGTTGGAATGTCCAAGGTCTGCGCCCAAAATCTTTGTGTGCAAAAGGCTTTAATACACCCTCCAAAATATTTTCGCGATAATATTCGGCATTTATTCTGATGCCAATGTCGATTAATACGAGCGGAGAGCGACCATCGGCTGTTATGGCCCACACCATCACCATGTCCGGCCATCAAGTTCTGGTGGCCAACCAAAAGTGCACATTTTCAGCTGACCTCTTTGGCAAGTAAACACGATCAGTTTGTTTGTTTACAAACTGCTGGACAACAAATGTTTTCTCATCGGATACGGAGAAAACTAAATTCGGCAGTTTACCACTTTCGGCCTAGCGAAGCAACTCTTTAGCTCTTTTGTGTATATTTTCTATCTGTTGCGGTATGAGTTTTTGCACTTTTTGGATTTTCAATGGCTTTACCTCGAGCTCATTTTTCAATATTTGCCGAATGACATATTGCGATATGTTCAGCTCAAGAGCCATTTTTTGGCCACTGCGACGCGGGTTTCCATTAAGTCGCATCTTTACTTTTCGAACCATTCCTGCTGATGTTGCTGTTTTCTTCCATTCACTTCCTTGACGTCGGGCTACGCTACCAGTATCACGGCAACGAGCAATGGTACGAGACACAAACCTTCACATTTAAATGCTGGAATGCTCTAACGATAGCCACCTGTGGTTTTCCAGCCAAATATAAAGAAATCACACTATCACGCTTGAATTCCATCACGAATAACTTTTTTTCTGGAAAATTCTCACCAAAATGCTTTTGTACACTTGTAAACAATATAATGGCCTGTCACTGGAATAATTTTAACAGCTGTCGGACGAGTGGCTTAGAATTGACATCAGTCTTAAGTTTGTTGCAGTTTTTTCATCTCACCCTGTACACACACATATCGCAGTATATATATCATATTTATTTAGGTTCGATAGGAAATGGATAATATTGACCCATTCCTTCTGATCCTACTACATAGAGGGTCAACAATTTGAAAGGAAGAATAAATTGATTGAATTAAATGATTAAAGATTGATACTACTGTATAACCGCAGTGTCTGTGGTGACTTCGATACCTTTTTGCATTACATTGCCACTTCATTTCTGACGTAGATTGGGGGATCAGCTACTTTTTTTTCATTCCTTTGCAGGTAAATCGCATTACAGCGTCTTTGTAGCAAAACTTGAATGCTCCCTTTCTCTCACCTCTCTGTTATGTGCAAACTGTCACGAAGTAATTTAAATTCGATCACAGGAAGAAAAAATCGGCCCACACATTCATAACCACCTACTCAACTGAGCCCATTACCATTTTGGCCAAGTCTTAAACACATTTAGGTTATTATATTTTATGAGCATTTTCGCCTCGTTTTTATTCACGTCTTGGGTATTTTCTTCTATCATTCCATGTTCTCAAAATAAAACCCCCAAAAACTTACAACAACAACAATAACAAATTCGACAACAATGCCATTTGCCCCCACGTTACAATGGACAACACAGCGACATCGATGACATGAACACAGACACATTCCACTTGGACATCTGGGACCACGACGACGAGAGCTGTGTTCTGGATGCTGTGTCACGTTTGAATGAGGTACGCGGTGTCCGGGGCTTGGGACGTTTCTTTAAACAGGTTTGCCAATCGGCACGTCAGGGTTCACAAGATGATTTCCTCGGCTGCGTTAATATACCCATTGCCGATATACCCAGCACCGGCATGGAGGGTTGGTTCAAATTGGAAGCACGTAGTCACCGCAGCACCGTACAAGGTCGCATACGTTTAAAATTATGGCTATCAACACGTGATGGCCAATCCGGTGATGGCTCACAAATGGACAGGGATCACTCCATGGACGTCCACAATCTGGAGGAGTTGCAGAGGGTGTTCATGCAGCACGAGGTGGCCACACATGAGCCCTCCTGGACGTGGAATGGTGAATTGCCGGGGCCGGCGTTGACCATACTGCATCAGTTGGCGGTGCAGGCCGATTTGGCGGAACTGCACTGTGCTGCAGCAAGGTGAGAAAGGATATTCTCAAATTCCTAATTTTTACCAATTTTTTAATTATTTGTTTTTTCCTTTTTTCAGATTTGTGGCTGCGGCCAAACTAAATCGCGGCACACCCCTGGATCCGAAATTCATGCACCGCCTGCTAACCGAAGTCGAAAAACAATGGAGCACCGCCAGCCAAGACCATTTGACCCGAGATTTTGAACAATGGCTGGCTGAGGCCATGAACGGATTTGTGGAACGATCCTTGCAACAAATACGCCAGCATCGCAAAGTTTTCCCCGCTCTCAATCCACCATCTCTGATAAGACTTGAATTTTTGCTACGCTGTTTAGGCCTGCTGGGCTCCATGCGGGCATTCCGGGCGGTGTGTCCCTTCAATAAAGGTGTTCGCGGCGAAGTTGTGAATGCCCTGCGTAAGGGTTCCGTGACATGGGGCCAAAATGTCCTTAAGGATGCACAAAGCCTGCCAAATCCTTTGGCACATTTTGTGACAACCATAACGGCGGACATACAAATTGGACAATCCTATTATCATTCGTTGTTTGACAAGTAAGTAGAGAAACTTTTCGCATTCGTGGTTAGGGGGATGGTAGGTTCTCCTCCACATGGATACCGAATGAAAATCAATAAAACTGAAACCAAAAAAAAAAAAAAAAACAAAAACGGGTGACAAATATTCTTTAATGTTGGCACGTGCATTACACAAAATGGGTTTTATGTGACACGAAAAGTGAACCAAAGAGAAACTACTGATGAAGGGGAGTAGGGGAAGGGGGGAAGTAATGCTAAGAAAAATTGTAAAACATTCATATAAGTTACATTCAATCCTTGGGAGTGCAATACAGGATGTTTCATTTTTATGTTCTATTTAAGAATTTTTTGTGCCAGGGAATACAAAAAGAATGATAATGGGGCTTAAAATTGCTTTTCGAGGATGTTTTATGGTCGCCGAGGAACTTCTTAGTTGACCCAAGTGTCGTTGGCATGAAATCTTAATGCAATTCAACTCCCATGTTTTACGATTGCACCTGCATTTTATATCGGCAAAAAGCTCAGAAACAGCTTGTTCCGGTAGAGAATGTAATGACATGACTTTAAAGTTTTCAGTCCAAATGATCGGACATTTGGAACATTCAACCGAATTCAGTCTAGTGTCTCATCAATTTTAGATCCTAGGTCTCATTGGACTAAATCCGTTTCATGATATTTGGAGTCGATCTAGCGTTGTTCGTTTGTCCGTCCGTCTGTCTGGCTGGAGCGCTCGATAAGTCCCGAAGGGCGTATACGATTTGGAACAAACTTGGAACATCGTAATATTATTCTTAAACTTAGATCGAGTTCGGAAATTGACAATATCGGTCCACTCCTTCCGGTACCTCACCCACAAAAGTTTAAAATGTTCACAGAATATAATTGTACCCTCAGCCATATGGCTAGAGAGAATATATATCATTTGATACGGCAAAAACTTGCCCCATCGAAAAAAAGGTTTTAGACCCACACACACATTTGTTCTCGTAATGTTATTATCAAACTTATACCGAGTTCGGAGATAGGCGATATCTCTCCACTCCTTCCACTCCTCCACCCACAAAATGTTAAAATTTTCAAAAAAAAATATTTCACTGCACAGAAATAAAAATGATAATCCGATTTTGCTTTAGCTATGCAAACTCTAGTATTTCCATCAGTACTACATCAGGTGCAAAAACGGACAATATCGGTTCACTCCATTAAGTACCGTGGTGCAGGTAAAATTTGGAATAATTACAACTCTTATAAAATGTGATGTAAGAGTCCAATTATCTTCAAATTACACACGTCATAATATTTTTACTAGTCCAAGGTCTGGTGTGACGATGGGATGTATCGGTCCACTCCTTCTGGTACCTTCCCCACAAAAATTTGAATATTCATGATGTTCATAAAACACGAAATTTACATTCCACTCCATTCAGACTTGGCACATCTCAATGTTTCTATCAACACAAGATCTGATATAAATATGGTAGAGATCGAACCATTCCTTCTGGTACCTCCCCTAATTATTATACTAGTTATACCCTCCACCTTGGAAAGGAGGGTATATTAACTTTGTCATTTCGTTTGTAACATCCTTAAATATTCGTCGTAGATCCCATAAAGTATATATATTCATAATCAGCATAAAATTCTAAGTCGATAAGCGAAACATTGTATGTATAGGTCCACGTTTTGGTATAGTCCCCATATAGCGGTGCCTCCCAATATTCGGTATTTTGATGATTTTTGACACATTTCGTTCTCGAATTTCTCTAAAAATTGGTAGTTGTAGATCATAATGGGTCCCAGTTTGTGTGGCGAGTCATTGTAATTATAGGTCCACGTTTTGGTATAGCCCCCATATAGCGGTACCCCCCGATATTCGGTAATTTGATGATTTTTGCAACATTTTTTCACGCATTTGTCTGAAAATTGGTATTTGTAGGTCATAATGGGTTCTAGCTCTGTTGGCGAAACATTGCATATGTTGGTCCACGATTTGATATAGCCCCCATATAACGGTACCTCCCGATATTCGGCATTTTAATGGTTTTTGCCAAATTTCTTCTAATGTTTCCTTTACCCTAAGGTGGAGGGTATTAAAAGTTTGGCCCGGCCGAACTTAATGTTTTTTTACTTGTTTTGAATAACAAAAATGACCATAAAAACCAAATTTTTTGTTAATAATCCAAGGTCTGGTGTGAAGATGGGAAATAATATCGGTCCACTCCTTCTGGTACCTCTCACAGTGGGTCAAAATTGTGAATGTCCATGAAGCTCATAATATGCGAAATTAACATCCGATTCCATTCAGACTTGGCGCATCCCAAAAATTCTATAAACATGTAATTCGCACATATTTCATTTTTTTTAAATTATCACATATTTCATATAAAGTGAAGAAAGTAGTCAATATAGTCCAAACCTGGCACGTCGCAATATCTATTTAGGACCGATACGAAACGGACAATATAAACATATTCCTTCGGAACCTACTCCATAGAGGTCAACAATTTGAGTAATCAAAACAGAAGTCAAAATATATTTCAATAATCGAATATAAAATTACATACGTCGGGAATACCCATTGATTTTGATCTTTGTGGAAGAGGTACTAGAAGGTGTGAGCGGGGCATATCCCATTTTCACTCCCTATCTTGTAATGGATAAAATATTGGGATGTGCGAAATTTAAAGAAAATCTGATGGATATTTCGTATTTTATGATCGTTTTTGATATTCGTAATATTGACCCCTTGTGGGGAAGGTATTCAAAGGAGTGATCTGATATATTCCATCTCCACATCAGATCTTATTTTAGTAGAAATCTTGGGCTGTGCGAAGTTTGAAAAGAATCGAATGCTTATATCGCATTTTATGCGTGTTTTGGTTACTCAAATGTTTGGCCCTTTGTGAGGGTGGTACTAGAAGGAGTGGTCCGATCTTGTCCATTCTCGCACCCCTTCTAGCGGTAATGCCAGTATCACTATTTTCAAAGTTTGAACAAAATCAGATTATCCGTTCCCATTTCCGAACTGTCTCTAAGTATGACAATAATATTACGATGTACTAAGTTTGGATCAAATCGGATACTCCCTTCGAGAGTTATTCTGCGCACCTGCCAGCCAGCCAGACATCGCAAGATCGACTCCAAATGACCTGCAACGGATTTGGTCCAAAGAGACCTAGAGTCTAAAACCGTTATTTCGATGAGGCACGTTTTGGCCATATCAAATGATATTTACCCTCTATAGCCACATGGCTAAGGGTACAAAAAAATTGCTCTTATAAAATGTGAAAAAGTCCTTTAGTTCCTATTGCGACGAAACAAATGCAAATGTTGTCTTACAGATTTCACCAAAGATATCTTTAAGAAAAATATCGACTGCTTTACAAAACTATTTTCGAGGAAATGCTTTTGTGTGACAAAATGGTATTTCCTACTTATTTCCATTGTCAAGTAATCTCCAAAACAGAAATTCCCAGAAATCTTCTTAAACGTTTTGCAGTGGAGCAAAGACACACTATTCAACAACCAAAAACCTCCCCACCACCTTCTCTCTCTCTCTCTCTCGTTCCACAACAACAATAAATAAGTCCTGTTTAAAAGTTATCATATTGTTTTGCCCCAAAGGTATTTAGACTTGAATCAATAAAGTTTTCATTGGTTTTCCTCTTCAACCCTGAGATATTTTGTAAATGGCTTAAAGGCCTTTACAAACTAAACTATCCACCAACTATCGCCATCACCCGAACGTGGTTTTGTTTGTTTGTCTTCGTCATCATTTCGTGGGGGGGGTGGTGAAATAAAAGTTTTGTGGATTACTTTTCAAATGTTTTACAAGAGTCCTTGTTGCGTGGGATGTTACAGGATAACCGAGGTTATTTTAGCAAAGAAAAAACACACACACACAAAGAACACTGCAAACCACACAAAACGTGAGAGCGAGAATGAAAGAGATTCTAACGAATTTCGTTTGTTGTTCTGAAGAGCTATGTGTGTGTGTGTGTGCATGTCTTTGTGTTTTAAATAAGGATGTAAAGTAATTTCCTTATTGCAATTTTACTACCACTCAAAATAGTGCTATTTACATTAGATTCCATGGAATTGTAGTAGTTCGGACGTTTTTTGGACATTTATAGTGCGATAGTATTGGAAAATGCGAGATATTCTCAAACGAACGGTATTTGTTTCCGCATTTCAATGAAACCCCCAATAAGGAAATATTTTTTTTTTATTAAAGGATAATAGGAAAGTTATGCATAATTTTGTTGGCATTTTTCCTGGTAGAGGATCTTACTGTTACAATTGTAAAGGAAGTCGTTTATTCCCGTGGCGGACAACTTAAAAAATGTATAATTGCCAACAACAGTAGCGTGCGAAAAATCGCAACCAATGTGGAAGATTTTCTGTGAGCTACAAAAGCGTTTCAATAATCCAAAAACGTAACTAAATTAGAGTAGTACCTGCATTAATGTGCAACACAAACAATAATAACAGAAAAAATCCAGCAGATTATAAAAATAGATCCAAAAAAGAAGTCATGCGTTTTGAAAATTTACATTGCAAATTAACCTAAATAGAGGGACAAAATTGCCACTTCTTCCCCACTTTTGGAAGATTTTGGATTAAGATTCCTCGGAATCCGTGCATTTTAGGTATATAATATCTTCAGCAATATTGCAGATAAAAACAGTAAAGAAAGTCTTAAAGTCGGGCGGGGCCGATTTTATGATACCCTACACCACTTTTTAATTTAGCAGAGCTCCGCATAACAATTAAAACTTTTTATGGGAGAATTCAATCATACATGCTATGATTATAATTATAATTATAATTATAATTTAAAGTTCAAAGGACTAAATATGCCGAAGCATTTGTATCTTTTAATTCCGGACTTGTATTGCCCATTTGGCGCACAATTAATTTGAAATCAGATAAAGATATATATGGGAGCTATAACCAAATCGGAACCGATCTCGATAAAATTTGGCAAAGACATTTCTGAGCTGTATTTGATATATTTCCCTGAATATCGTTGTTACGGAGTGCATATTACGGCTGTGGGTAACAAATATAACAAATCGGATGAACAGTATATATGGGAGCTATAGCTATATCTGAACCGATCTTCACCAAATTTGACATACTAGCTTCTAGACTCAATTCAGTCGGAAGTGCCAAATTCCATCCCATTTGGACAAATATTAGACGTTTGATGCACAATAAAAGGTAAATCGGACGAAGTTATGTATGGGAGCTATATCCAAATCTGAACCGATCTCGATAAAATTTAGAAAATGTATTTCTGAGCTATATTTGATATATTTCTCCAAATATTGTTGTTACAGAGTGCATATTACAGCTGCGGAGGGCAAAAATAACAAATCGGATAAGCAATATATATTGGAGCTATAGCTATATCTAAACCGATTTCGAACAAATTTGGCATACTTATTTTCAGGCCTAATTTGGTTGTAAAATTGCAAAATTCCACACTATTCGGGCTGATATTAAACGTTTGGTGCACAATAAAAGGCAAATCGGACGAATATATATATTGGAGCTATATCTAAATTTTTACCGATTATCTCCAATTTCAATAGGGTTCGTTCTTGGGCCAAACAAATGATTTGTGCCAAATTTCATCTGGATAGGGCAATAAATGCGAACTGTACTTTGTTTCCAAAAATACATAGACAGACGGACATGCATAAATCGACTCAGAATGTGATTGTATGTAGATCATCAGAAGGAGCTATAGGTCTATCTCGTTACCTTTAGCCTGTTACAAACAAATGCACAAAGACATAATACCCTGATCTCCTTGTGGTGTAGGATATAAATGTGTGCCAACGAAGCGAGATTTTTTGTTCTTTTTTATACCCTCCACCATATTATGGAGGGTACATTAAATTCGCCATTCCATTTCTAACTGCTCGAAATACTCAATTCAGATCCAACAAACTGTATATATTCTTTATCAGTGTAAAATTATAAGTCGATTTAGCGACGTCCGTCTGTCTGTTCTAATCACCCTATCTTTCGAACGAATTCAGGCAGAAGGCTAAATTGTTGAACACAATTGTACTCTGCTAGTAGGCAGGCTAGGTTCGTATATGGGTCTTGTCGGTCCACGTTTTCGTATAGCATCTTATAACGGTACCTCTCAATATTCAGTATTTTGATGATTTTAGCGACATTATGGACTGGAATTGTTTCAAATTTCGTATTGGAAGATGTTAATGGATACTACATCCAATGACAAAAGTTATGTATGCAGGTCCACGTCTTTCTTTAACTCCCATATAACAGTTCCTCCTAATATGCGGTATTTTGATGATTTAAGAAATACATTATTCGCACATTATTCGAGTTATCAAAAATGAGTACCATTTCGTACTTTTCGATAACTATAGTACGTATTTTTAAAACCACCTTTCTATATCAATAGCTCACATGAACAGCGACCCTAATACCAAATCTCAGATTTCAAGCACTATCTGTTCACCCAATAGTAAATTGTAGCAACTCTAGTACTATTTAGTACTTTTCGTGCACTTGCAGTACACATTTTCAAAACCACCACCATATCTCAATTCTAGGTACCAACAGAGACCTCAATATCAAATTTGAGGGTTCCAGCTCATCACCCAATACCAAATTGAGTACCATTCAGTACTTTTCGTACAATAATAGTGCACATTTCAGAAACAAGCTCCATATTTCAATTCCAGATACCAACAGACATCTCAATATCAAATACAAAATCTCAAAAAACAGATACCATCAGTAATCTAAACACCAAATTTCTGAATTTTATTTCTATCCCTTCACCCAATCCAAATTTTTAGTACCATTCAGAACTTTTGGTACAATTGCAGTACACATTTCGGTAACCACCTCCATATATCGAGGCTAAACAAGAACAGCGACCCTAATACCAACTTTCATATTTCAAGCACTATCTGATCAACTCATAAACAAATTGTACTAAATATAGTAACATTAGTACTTTATGTAGTACATATTTCCCAAACCACCTCTTTATCACAATCCTACCACGAACAGGAAGCTCAATACAAAATTTCAGCTTATGAACTCACCCTAAACCAAACTACTCCAGATTTAGTACCATTTAGTACAGTTTGAACAATTAGTACACCTATCCAAAACCACCACGCATCAAACTTACTTTCAAACCTTGATTTTTAGCTCTATCCGTTCACATAACACCAAATGGTATTATTTCAAAAATTCAGTAACATTTTAGAACAATTCCCAAATTTAATGGTCGAATTTCCAATAATTCTTTTGTGCATATATCCTGCACTCCATCAGTGACTCTCATTCCAAATTGTAGAACTCCAGCTCCAACGGTTCATCACAACTCCAATTTGTATAAAAGTTTAGAACCATTTAGTACACGTAAATACGAATTTCCAAAACTACCTATATATCCCACTCCTACACTCCGACAGGAATCTCAATCGCAAATCTTAGGATTCCACCCCTGTTGGTTCGACAAAATACAAATTATACTTTATTTAGTACATTTTAGTACGAATTTCAAAAACTACCTTCATATACCAATCCTACACTCCGACAGCAGTCTTATTTATAATTTTAAGGATACCAGCTCTATTGGTTCACCCAAATCCAAATCGTACCAAATTCAATACCATTTAGTAGAATTGAGCACAAATTTACATCATACAGTCCTATAGAAATCTTATTTTCAAATTTCAGGATTCCAACTCTACTGGTTCTCCCAAAATTTAAATTGTACCAAATTTAGTACAATTTAGTATATAAAAATACGAATTTCCAAAACTGCCTACATTCCTCAGTCGTTGAATGCAAAAGTTATCTTATTTCTAAATTAAAGAATTCCAGATCTATCGGTTCACCCAAATCGAAATTGTACCAAATTTAGTACACATAAGTACAAATTTTCATAACTACCTACATTACACAGTCCAATAGAAATCCCATTTCCAAATTTTAGGATTTTAAATATATCGGTTCTAACAAAACTTAAATTGTACTAAATTTAGTACCATTTAGTACACATAAGTACGAATTTCCCAATCCTACAATGTTGTAGTCATTTTATTTCTAAATTTCAGAATATCCGATGTGTTCGGTCAAAACTGTACCAAATTTAGTACCATTTTGTACACTTAAGTACAAATTTTCATAACTACCTACATCATATAGTTGAATAGGAATCGTTGTTCCAAATTTCAGGATTCCAATTTGTCCTCCCAAAATTAAATTGTTCCCAATTCAGTACCATTTAGTACTTTTCGTGTACATAAGTAGAAATTTCGAAAACTTCCTCCATATCCCAATCCTACGCTCCAACAGTAATGCTAATTTCAAAATTCAAGCTCCATCCATTCTCCACATTAAAATTGTACTATATTTAGTACCTTTTAGTACTTTTGTATACATGAGTACACATTTAAAAAACTACCTTTTTACAACTCTACCTACTCCTCAACCTTGATTCCCATTCCAAATTTCAGGTTTGTAGCTTTAACCGTTCACATGATATGAAATGGTAGCAAATGTAGTACATTTTAGTACTTTCCGTAATCTCATGGTGCGAATTTGCAAAAATTTTTTGGTATATCTATTTTGTATTACATCAGTGACTCACATTCGAAATTTCGAACTTATTCCGTTTGCCCAACAAGTTATTAAATTTATAGTACAGATTAATATATTTCGTACCCTTTGGTACACATTTCCTAAACTACGCAACAAAACTGATCTTCTTGAAAGTGGCACAGCCCAGATATATCTGTATCAGATTTAAGGACTGTACCAAAGGGGTGACCTATGATGATAATTTTTTGAAAAAACGTATCAGAGATCAAAATGCTAAAAACAAATAGTTGAAATCGTAGGGCTATTCCAAAATTTGGACCGAGATGTCCTATTTTCTCGAGGGTTACAATTTTCAATGAAAATATCTGCAATATTGCCGAAGACACTATATACCTAAAATCCATGGATTCCACCGAATCTTAGTTCGAACATTTCTAAAAATGTTGAAGAAGGGGGAACTTGCCCTCTCTATTTGAGGTTACTTAGCGATGTAAACCTTTAAAGCACCGCTATAGGTGTCTTCTGTTTTCTGTTCTGCTTTCATAATCTGTTGGATTTTTCTTGTAATTATTTTTTGTGTTGCACAGTGTAATTAAAAAGTTCGAAATTTATATTCGCTTGATCTCGGGCTGGTTTATTATTTAAGAGAATAAAAATATTTTCAGAACCTACTTTTTCGTAATTTGTATTATTTCAAGACATTTCTCATAATTGTGTTATTCTCTCTCTCTTACTCTCTCTCTCTCTCTCTTTTTACAGCACCAATGGTATTCAATACTTTAGCATAGTTTACAAACAATTCGATGCCTTAGTCGGCGAAGAGATCTATCATCGCATGGAGGCGGGTCAAATACCCGGAATCATACTCAACAATGCCCATTATCCCATTGTGGATGCTGAGAACGAATCGATTGATATCAAACCGTTTGAGTTGTTCTTGGCCCTGCAGGAATTTTGTCAATTAAAACGTTTTCTCTCGGTGCAGCCACAGCCGCCGGAAAAGCCCCTGGCATTGGCACAATGCCATGAATGGTTTATACCAACCTTCGAACACTGGATGGTCGTGAGTAAGGCCAAGGCATTGCAAAGGATACGTCAAGCTATACGTCTGGATGCCATATGTGAGGGTGAGCGAGTGGTACGCTATAGCTCATCATCGGTGGATACGGCCTCAACGTTGGTGAACATTAAGGAATTTTGGAAGATCATCAGTTGGCCGGATGACGAGACGGGCATTATGTTGGAGTCGCAACTCATCGATCTGGTGTGTTCGACGGCCATGCATTATTGTGACCTGATACACACCGCTCTGGCAGACAGCGGTTATTACGAAATCCAGGGGCCTTTTCGTTGTTCGGATGATATGTGTGTGACAGTCAACAATTTGGAATATGTACGTTTCACCCTGTCCGATTTCCGTTCCGACGACAATCCCCTGGAAGAGGGAGCCGATAATCTGCTGGAGACTAGTTTGGCCCACATGGAAAGTCGTTGTGAGCGGATACTCTCAAAATTGGCACCCCTGATGCAAATGTCTCTGCAAAAGGCTGTATTCCATTTGGCTTGGTCCCCGGACTCCTTGCCCGCCAATCAGGCCATAGTACCGCTATTGGAATACATGGATTCCCATTTGGGGGCACTGAACAGTGCATTGCTGCCGAAAAATTTCAATCGAGCATTGCGTTTTGTATGGAAAACGGTGTTGGGTGAAATGTCACGACAAATGGAGACGGGCGATGATTCCGAGAAACCTTCGAATTTTCACAAACGTCTGTACGAAGCTCTCCAGCTCTTGGTGGACTTTTTCCATGCCGAGGGCCAGGGATTGGCATTGGAGTATTTGCACTCGGAGGACTTTTGGCACATTGAGCAACGTTTGCAGTTCCACAAAACCGAAACGTGGCGTCTCATCGATATGTATCACCTGAGTCGTTTGCGGGAACAATATATGACCCAGTTACCCGGACCCTATGGTTCGTTGACAGTGCGTGCCTATTTGAATCATGATTCGTTGTGTGTTGAGGTACTGCATGGACGCGATATAGTGCCGTTGGATCCGAATGGATTCAGTGATCCGTTTGTTATTATTGAGCTGTTGCCGCGTCGTATTTTCAGTCATTGCATGGAACAGCAGACAAATGTGCATAAGGTAGGTTGAGGTCAATTTTTAATTTAATTGAAATTAAATCAAATCACTTGGTTTGTACTGAAAATAATTGGAAATCCTTTTCTTTTCAATTCCAGAAAACCCTGAATCCCATTTTCGATGAATGCTTTGAGTTCTCAGTAACATTGGACCAGTGTTTGGTTGAAGGTGCCATGATCTGTTTCACAGTCATGGATCATGACGTCATAACCGCCAATGATTTTGGAGGTGAAGCCTTCTTGGCATTGGGTAACATTCCCGGTGTGGCCGATTACAGTACGAGTGTGGAGAATTTCCATGGATTGAAACAAATTGAATTGCCACTAATACAACAAACCGATAAAAGTAAGTATCTGATGTGGATTAAATATTTTTTCGGATATCTTTTCTAAAAAGGGTGCAGGGTATATAATTATACCCTCAGCCATATGGCTAGAGAGGGTATATATCATTTGCTACTGTCAAAACCCCGTTTTTCACTCTAGGTCTCTTTGGACTAAATTCGTTTCAGGACATTTGGAGTCGATCTAGCGATGCCCTTCCGTCCATCCATTTTCAAAAAATATATTTTCTGGTTTTGCTCCAACTGGACAATATCAGTCCACTCCATCAAGTACCTCCACCACAAAGAGTCAAAATTTTGATTAATTACAACTATCATAAAATGTGAAGTAAGAGTCCGACTGCTTTTAAATTTCACACATCTGAATATTTTTATTAACCCAATGTCTGGTGTGAAGATGGAATATATTGGTCCTCTCCTTCTGGTACCACACCCAAAAAAGTTCGAAATTTTCAAAAAATCTATTTTCTTCACAGAAATAGAAGCCATTATCCGATTTTGCTCCAACTTTGCACAACGGGTCAAAATTTTGAATAAAATTTTGAAATAACGATTGTCTTCAAATTTCATACATCCGAATATTTTTATTAACCAAAGGTCTGATGCGAAAATGGAATATATTGGTCCACTCCTTCTGGTAGCTCCCCCACAAAGGGTCGATATTTTTAAGATTTTCTAAAAAGTATCACATCTCAAAGTGAAGGAACAAAAGTAGTCCAAGGCTAGCACGTTGCAATAGTATATCATATATATTCCGGTCCGATACGAAATGGATAATATTAGTTCATTCCATCGGAACCTACTCCATAATCTGAATAATCATAACAGAAGTCAATATACATTTTAAAAAACCGAACGTAGGCTGAGGGTATACATCTGTCAGCAAAACCGACTTAAAATTTTTAACTTGTTTTTGTAATTTTTAGGAACACCTCGAAATATCCGCCAGAGACCGAATCGATTTAATATTGTCCGTATATCTATTTGGTTTATAATGAAACCATAGATCCTCTTCTTAAAGTAGAGGGGCCTAGTTAATCCCTTTTCCACACTTTTGGACATTTTTACATTTAGATTCCTCGGAATCTGTGCATTTTAGGTATATAGTGTCTGCTGATATATTGCAAATAAAAATACGAAGAAAATTTTGGTTGAAAAATTTAACCTTCAAGCGAGTCAGGGAAGGAGTCTATTTGGGATCGTCCACTCCATCAAGTAACACTCCCACTCTAATAAAATGGATCCGAAATTTAGCACATCTCCATATTTCTATCAATATAAGATCTGTTATAAAGATAGTAGAGATCGGGCCATTCATTCTGGTACTTCCTCCACAAAGGGTCAAAATTTTGAACAACAAAAACGATCCCCCATAAAGGGTTCAAAATTGTGACAAAAGAAACGCACAAAAACGCTGTGTTAGCATTTAATTCTTCTCAAATTTCACACATCCAAACATTTTTGCTAAGACAAGATCTGTTGTGAAGTTGATAGATATCTACCAAGGCGATCGGGAGCACTTCCACACCCAAATGAAGAGTGAAGAGTAGATACCGTATAAACGTGGCACCCTTCGAGCAATCCCGCTCGCGAACAAGTTTCAGCAAATACATGGTGAGATAAAAAAACTGCAACAAAGTCAATTTTAATTTCATCGAATGAAAGCAATAAATGTCGGAAATAGCATCAAATTTTAGAATAAGTTTAGATTTGTTCGAATTGCTCACATTTGGCACGAATTATGGCCTGCAAACGACCAATGAAACCGTCACACGCGAATGTTGCTCTGCGGTATTTTTTTCGATTCCCGGCGAAGCGCTTGCTTGAGGTGATCGACACCTAGGTATTTTTTAGTGCCAACCTTGCTTTCCAAAATACTGCAAACACAATAGTCCAACGGATTGGTATCCGGAGATTTTGGTGGCCATTGTGGGCTGGAAACGAAGCGAGGAACCTCATTTTGTAACTATTCTTGGGTGGCGCGTGCTGAGTGTGATGGTGCTGAGTACTGTTGGAACGTCCAAGGTGTGCGGCCAAAATGTTTGCGTGCCCAAGGCTTTAATACACCCTCCAGAATATTTTCGCGATAATATTCGGCATTTATTCTGATGCCACGCTCGATTAATACGAGCGGAGAGCGACCATCTGTCATGGCGGCCCACACCATCACCATGGTCGGCGCATGAGTTCTAAACACGATCATTTGTTTTGTTTACAAACTTCTGGACAACAAATGTTTTCTCATCGGTGACGGAGAAAACCAAATTGGGCAGTTCACCACTTTCGGCCAAGCGAAGCAACTCTTTAGATCTTTTGAGTCTATTTTCCTTCTGTTTCTCTATAAGTTCTTGCACTTTTTGGAATTTCAATGGCTTTACGCCGAGCTCATTTTTTAATATTTGCCGAATGGAATATTGCGAAATGTTTAGCCCACGAGCCATTTTTTGGCCACTGCGACGCAGGTTTTGATCAAGTCGCTTCTTTGCTTTTCGAATCATTTCTGATGATGTTGCTGTTTTCTTTCGTCCACTTCCCTGACGTCGGGCTACGCTACGAATATCACGGTAACGAGCGATAGTACGAGACTTATTCACATTTAAATGCTGGAGTGCTCTGACGATAGTCACTTGTGGTTTTTGAGCCAAATATAAGGAAATCACACTATCACGCTTGAATTCCATCACGAATAACTTTTTTTCTGGAAAATTCTCACCGAATTGCTTTTGTACGCTTGTAGATAATATAATGAACTGTCACTGAATTACTTTTAACAGCTGTCGGACAAGTGGCTTAGAAATGACAGCAGTCTGATGTTGGTTGCAGTTATTTTCATCTCACCCTCTATAGATATTCTTGATCAGCGTAAAATTCTGAGTCGATTTAGAGATGTCCGTTGCAATCACGCTGTATTTCGAACGAATTGAGATAGAAGGCTAAAATTTTTCACACATGTTTATTTTGTCAGTAGGCAGGTCAATTTCGTAAATGGATCATGTAAGTCCACGTTTTCGTATAGACCCCATATAACGGTACCTCCCGATTTTCGGTATTTTGATGATTTTAGCGTCGTTATTCACTGGAGTAGTTTCAAATTACGTATTTGAAGTTCGTAATGGATACTACAGCCTAAGACAGAAAATTGTTTATGCAGGTCCACGTCTTCTTATAGCCCCCATATAACGGTACATCCCAATATTCGGTATTTTGATTATTTTAAATACAATACTCACTGAAATTGTTTGAGATGTCGTATTTGAAGTTCGTAAAGGATTCTACAGCCTGTGACAGAAAATTGCCTATGCAGGTCCAGGTTTTCGTATAGCTCCAATATAACGGTACCTCCCTATATACGATATTTTGATGATTTTAGCTGCATTATTCACCTCTAATTTCAAGTTTCGAATTAGAATATGGTAATGGCTTATGACAAACAATGCCTATGTAGGTCCACGTCGTATAGACCCCAATATAACGGCTATATTCGGTATTTTTAAGATTCTAACAAAATTTTTAACGGATATGACTTTTTGAAATAAAATCGTTCTAAATGGTGGAGGGTATTCAAAGTTCGGCCCGGCCGAACTTACTGCTTTTTAACTTCTTTTCAATAGAACAGGCCATTTTTATACCCTACACCACAAGGTGGTCAGGGTATTATGTCTTTGTGCATTTGTTTGTAACAGGCAAAAGAAATGAGATAGACCCATAGTTCCTTTTGATGATCTGCATAGAATCACTTTCTGAGTTGACTTATCCATGTCAGTCCGTCTGTCCGTCCGTCCGTCCGTCTGTCCATGTATTCTTGTGAACAAAATGCAGGTCGCATTTATTATCCGATTGAGATGAAATTTTGCAAACAACATTTGTTTGGCCCAAGGACGAATCCTGTTGAAATTGGAGATAATCGGTAAAAATTTAGATATAGCTCCCATATATATCTTCGTCCGATTTGCCTTTTATTCTGCACCAAACGTGTAATATCAGCGCGAATAGTATGGAATTTTGCACATACAACCAAATTAGGCCTGAAAATAAGTATGCCAAATTTGATCGAAATCGGTTCAGATATAGCTATAGCTCCCATATATATTGTTCATCCGGTTTGTTATTTTTGTCCTCCGCAGCCGTAGTATGCACTCTGTAACAACAATATTTGGGGAAATATATCAAATGCAGCTCAGAAATACCTTTGCTAAATTTTATCGAGATCGGTTTAGATTTGGATATAGCTCCCATATTTAACTTCGTCCGATTTACCATTTATTGTGCACCAAACGTCTAATATTTGTCCAAATGGGATGGAATTTGGCACATACGACCGAATTTAGTCTAGAAGGTAGTATGCCAAATTTGGTGAAGATCGGTTCAGATATAGTTATAGCTCCCATATATATATTCAGGGAAATATATCAAATACAGCTCAGAAATTTCTTTGCCAAATTTTATTGAGATCGGTTCAGATTTGGATATAGTTCCCGTATATATTTTTATCCGATTTCAAATTAATTTCGCACCAAATGGGCAATACAAGTCCGAATTTAAAAGATACAAATGCTTCGACATATTTAGTCCTTTGAATTTTAAATTATAATTATAATCATAGCGTGTATGATTGAATTCTCCCATAAAAACTTTTAATTATTAAGTGGAGCTCAACTAAATTTGCAAAGTGGTGTAGGGTATCATAAAATCGGCCCCGCCCGACTTTAGGACTTTCTTTACTGTTTTTTTTTTTTTTTTATTTCAAGAAAATTAATTGTTGAAAATCCATCTACTGCAAGCCTATTCTGTAACTTTTATATTTTAAAAATCTGTTCAAATTCAAGATCTGTTGTGTTCAAATGATTTTTATTTATTTATTTATTTTTTGTAAAATAAAAAGTTACTGAAGCTTTAAGAAGTTTCAGCATATGCCAACTGATTTGTTCGTAATTGGCATTTACAAAATTTAATTGCTAATTTAACCAAAGTCAATTTTATTGTGTTCTTTTATCAATTAGGGTTTCAATTTTATATCAAAAACAAAAAAACAAATACAACCTTTATTTTTATTTGGAAATAACTAACCGCAGATTTTTTGCGGTTTTGAAAGAAAGAATGAAAAAAAAACACCACAAATGCAATTATTTCCATCAGATAAAATCAAATCATTTGTTGTTCACTTGTCTCGTTATCTGACAACGACAGTTCTAGTTCTCATAACCTATCAAAGAGTAGTAAAGAATAAGAAAAAATTAAAAAAAATGTCCGACTTACCCCACAAGGATTTCTATACGGTGGAAGTGGGCGACACCAATTTTACAGTGCCAATTCGTTATCAAAATATTTCGCCCATTGGCATGGGAGCTCAGGGAATTGTGTGCTCAGCTTTGGACGCCACCACGAAAACCAATGTGGCCATTAAAAAACTATCGAAACCCTTTCAAAATGTTGTACAGGCCAAGCGGGCGTATCGCGAATTGAAGCTCATGAAACTGGTCAATCACAAGAATATCATTGGCCTACTGGATGTGTTCACGCCCAGCGACAGTTTGGAAGAATTTCAGGATATGTATTTGGTAATGGAACTAATGGATGCAAATCTCAGTGCCGTTGTGGGGATTGGTTTGGATCACAATCGTCTCTCGTATCTGATATATCAAATACTATGCGGCATTCGCCATCTCCACTCGGCTGGGATAATACATCGGGATTTGAAACCCTCCAACATTTGTGTGAATGCCAATTGTTCGTTGAAAATTCTCGATTTCGGTTTGGCACGCACGGCGGCGGAACCGACTTTCCTTATGACTCCATATGTGGTGACACGTTACTATCGAGCTCCGGAAATTATTCTCGGTATGCCGTACAAGGAAAATGTGGACATTTGGTCGGTGGGCTGTATCATGGGTGAGCTAATACGTGGCGGGGTTCTGTTCAAAGGCTCCGATCACTTGGATCAATGGATGAAAATCATCCAACAAATCGGCAGTCCAGATAAAAGTTTTTTCGCCGACTTAGTACCGAATGTTCGACAATATATTGAAAATTTGAACCAATATGAAGGATATTCCATTGAACGTTTATTTCCCGATGCATTGTTCCATGTGGATGAGGAAAATGACGACGAAGAGGATGAAGATGAATATCAAAGAAACACAGATAATGCCCGAGATTTATTGGCTCGTATGCTAACCATTGATCCAAAGCATCGAATTTCAATAGATGAGGCCTTGAACCATAGATATATTAATGTTTGGTACGAACAGGAGGAGGTCGATGCACCCATACCACAAGTTTTTAGCCTGGATGTCGATGAAAGGGGTCACAGCATTGCGGAGTGGAAGAAAATCATTTATGAGGAAATAAAAAATGCCTGAGATCATAAAATAAACATCAAATTGAAAAAAAGAATGACGTTGTAATTTCTGTATATGTTGTTACACAGTATTGTCGGATCCTTAGATTGGGCTAAATCAGAAAACCTTGTGCAATGTTTTTGAAACATTACACAAACTGTGACGCCCAAAGTGAAAATAGGGAATGTTGTACTTAATTGTGCCAGAGTGTCATGAATTTTTATTCGAAATTTGAAAATATTGTCGGGACTGCTAATTTAGTAGAGCTCCACATAACATTTAAAAGTATTTATGGGAGAATTCAATCATAAACGCTATGATTATAATTATAATTATAATTATAATTTAAAGTTCAAAGGACTAAATATGCCGAAGCATTTGTATCTTTTAAATTCGGAATTGTATTGCCCATTTGGTGCACAATTAATTTGAAATCGGATAAAGATATATATGGGAGCTATATCCAAATCTGAACCGATCACGATAAAATGTGGCAAAGATATTTCTGAGCTGTATTTGATATATTTCCCTGAATATCGTTGTTACGGAGTGCATATTACGGTTGTGGGTAACAAATATAACAAATCGGATGAATAATATATATGGAAGCTATAGGTATATCTGAACCGATCTTCACCAAATTTGACATACTAGCTTCTAGACTAAATTCGGTCGTAAGTTCCGTAAATTTCATCCCATTTGGACAAATATTAGACGTTTGGTGCACAATAAAAGGTAAATCGGACGAAGTTATACATGGGAGCTATATCCAAATCTGAACCGATCTCGATAAAATTTAGCAAATGTATTTCTGAGCTGCATTTGATATATTTCCCCAAATATTCTTGTTACAGAGTGCATATTACGGCGGCGGTGGACAAAAATAAAAAATCGGATGAACAATATATATGGGAGCTATAGCTATATCTGAACCAATTTCGATCAAATTTGGCATACATATTTCAGGCCTAATTTGGGTGTATATGCAAAATTCCATACAATTCGGGCTGATATTACACGTTTGGTGCACAATAAAAGCAAATCGGACGAAGATATATATGGGAGCTATATCTAAATTTTGACCGATTATCTCCAATTTCGATAGGGTTGGTCCTTGGGCCAAACAAATGATCTCCGCAAAGTTTCATATGGATCGGGCAATTAATGCGACCTGTACTTTGTTTACAAAAATACATGGACAGACGGGCGGACGACACGCATAAATCGACTCAGAATGTGATTCTATGCAGATCATCAAAAGGAACTATGGGTCTATCTCGTTTCCTTTTGCCTGTTACAAACAAATGCACAAAGACATAATACCCTGACGACCTTGTGGTGTAGGGTATAAAAATACGGATCTCAGCAGAACATAAGCTGTACTGGATTTGTGTCTTTTAATTTTGTCTCAAGATCTCCAACCGTATTTTTTGGAGAATCGTTATATTTTTGTTAAAAATGGCATTTGTTTCAAATGGAAGTTTTAAACATTTTTTTCGATATCCCTTAACATTTTCGAAAAAGTCTATATTATCGAAACTATGCCAAATTACGAATTATTATACACTCAGCCATATGGCTAGAGAGGGTGTATATCGTTTGATACGGGCAAACGTGTCTCTTCGAAATAACGGTTTTGGACTCTAGGTCTCTTTGGACAAAATCCATTTCAGGACATTTGGGGTAGATCTAGCGATGTCCGTCTGGCTGGTGCTCACGGTAACTCTCCAAGGGATTATCCGATTTGGCTCAAACATGGTACATCGTAATACTAGGTGAGATGAAAAAAACTGCAACCAACTTCAGACTGCTATCACTTCTAAGCCACTCGTCCGACAGCTGCTAAAATTAATCCAGTGACAGATCATTATATTGTTTACAAGCGTACAAAAGCATTATGGTGAGAATTTTCCAGAAAAAAAATTATTCGTGATGAAATTGAAGCGTGATGGTGTGATTTCATTATATTTGGCTGGAAAGCCACAAGTGGCTATCGTTAGAGCACTCCTGCATTGAAATGTGAATAAATTTTTCTTTTTTTAATCTACCGTTTGTAACAGTGATACTGGTAGCGTAGCCTGACGTCAGGGAAGTGGACGGAAGAGAACAGCAACACCAGCAGAAATGGTTCAAAAAGTAACGAAACGACTTGATCGAAACCCGCGTCACAGTGGCGAAAAAATGAATCGTGATCTGAACATATCGCAATATTCCATTCGGCAAATAGTGAAAGATGAGCTAGGGGTAAGGCCATTGAAATTCCAAAAATTGCAAGAACCTAACCCCCCCCCCCCCCCCCCAACAGAAAGAAAATAGACTCAAAAGAGCTAAAGAGTTGCTTCGCTTGGTCGAAAGTGGTGAACTGCCGAATTTGGTTTTCTCCGATGAGAAAACATTCTTGTGCAGCAGTTTGTAAAAAAAAAACAAAATGATCCTGTTTACTTGCCAAAGAGGTCAGCTGAAAATGTGCACCTTCGGTTGGCCACCAGAACTCAATCGCCGGCCAAAGTGATGGTGTGAGCCGCCATAACAGCCGATAGTCTCTCTCCGCTCGTATTAATCGACCGTGGCATCAAAATAAATGCAGAATATTATCGAGTGCACCATCGCACTTAGTACGTGCCACCCAAGAATGGTTACAAAATGGGGTTCTTCGCTTCATTTTCAGCGCACAATGGCCACCAAAATCTCCGGATACGAATCCGTTGGATTATTGTGTCTGGAGTATTTTGGAAAGCAGGTTTTGCACTTAAAAATACCAAAGTGTCGATCTCCCCAAGCAAGTGCTGCGCCGAGAATGGCCCAAAATACCGCAGATCAACATTCGGACAGCGTGTGATGGTTTCATTGGCCGTTTGAAGACCATAACTCGAGCCAAAGGTGACCAATCTAAATCTAAACTTATTCTAAAATTTGATGATATTTCCGACATTTTTTGCTTTCATTCAATAAAATTTGGAAAATATATAAAAATTATGGCGTTCTGATATTAAATGAAACTCGAATTTTTTTTCTTGGGTGATTTATAGTGGATTTCGATGAAGAATATTTTTGTCTCTGAAATCATGCTTCCAAAATTATGCTTTTTAGGACATTTGCGTAAACTGCAAAATGTGTTTACATTTAGACCTTAATAAATTCGTAGAATATTCAAATAATTTCGTAAATCCGAAAATTTCCTAAAGTATGGAAGAGGGGGGGAGGTAACTTGCCCGCTCGCTATTTAGATCACTTTGTGATGTAAACCATTGAAACACCGATACACGTGTCTTCTTTTTTAACCCTTCTTTCATTATCTGTTGTTTTTTCCAGTTTTTTTTTTTTTTTTTTTTTTTTTTTTGCACAGCATTACGAAGGTAGACCCAGATTTTAGGTCTGTTGGAAATCATAAAATGTTTCAGAACTTTTATGATAGAGAAAAAGTGCTAAACTAGTAGATTTTTGCATGTTCTGCAACGGAGCATATTCCAACTGATTTAGTTATGTTCCACGTGTTCTCACTTTCTAAGCTCGGTTGTAAGAAATATATATATTTTTTTAATCTAGAATATTTATTTTGTTAGTTTTGCTCTCCCAACCGGGACATTTGATACTTTAATCTAATAACCAACATCATCCTCATTTATTTCCTTCTCTTTGCAGATCATCCCATACTTCAAATTTTGGAATTACGTGTCAACGATAAGCAAGCACAAGATTTTGTACGAAAGCAGCGAGATAGAATAATACAATAAATTTAGTGTAAAACGACGGAAGAAAATTGTGACAGCGAAAGCAGCTAGCTTTGAGTCCTTCAATGGAAGCAGAACTACAAAATTGTTGTCACTTTATGAAACAAAAACTACAATCAAATTGTATGAGTAAGTAGAGAAAAACAAGAAACCCCTAGGATGAGAACAATAGCAAATAGATACTGAGCTATGAGGAGTCAAATGCAACAGCTTAAAGACTTCTACAACTATAACATCATAACTTGGTGTACAAAAAAATATAAAATAAATTGGACATAGAAAAAAACAAAGGATAACGAACAGAGAAAGACTCTTTAAGACGGCAAACAACAAATTCGAATGGTGCATTAAAAAAAGACACTATAGTTTAGATTTTTAAGCGAAAAAATACAAAAAAAAATGTCTACTATTCAAGGGAAAGCAAATTATGAAAACTATAGAAAACACTACTGAATGTGGCAAATATTGACAAAATATCCTGTTTTTCTCATTTATTATCCTTTTTTCAACAAATACTGATACAAGATTAAAGGAGGTATAGGAAAAATCTTGTAAACTTAAAATACACTAACAAAAAGAAAAAAACAAAAACAACTTTGGAACAAAAAACCAACCCAATTAAATGCAAACTCTTAGGGAATCTTTTTTGTATAAGAATTTTTTTTGTCATCAAATGCTTACGAAACCGATCCTTAAATACTTAAATAATAAAAAAAAACAAAAAGCAAAATATGAAATAAAAAAATATATTTTACTAAATGTAAATTAGAGCACTTGTGCAAGAAATATTTGTTATTAAAATATACATTTGAAAAATATATAACAAACATCCTTATGCTGACTTTGATTCCTATTATACGAGAAAAGAATTAAATTTTCTAATATTTTCAAAGAAACGATATATTACGCCACACCCTGTTTCCTCAATATTAATTTAATTTGAAAAAAAATTAAATTTAGAAAAGTGGAAAGAAATACCTGGCGGCCAGTCATGGCATCCCACTACCAAATATAAATTTTGAGTTTTATGGCCAAGAGTAATGCGATTTTAACGCCTATATAAAAATTGGGTCTGGCGATCACAATTTGGAAGATAGTTGCAAAATGTAAAAAAAATCCGTTGAAAAATTAATCTAAAATTATCATAATACCGAATTTCGGGCGGTACAGTTATATGAGAGATGTACGGCAAAATCAACCTTCATTGATAATTTCCTGTCATAATAATTTGTCTTTATTACAAACTAGAAATTCTAAATTAGAAACACTTTCGGTGGAAAATTTTGGTTAAAATCGTGAAAATACCGAATATCAGGAGGTACAATTATATAGAGGCCATACAAAGAGGTGAGTCTGTACAGGAAATTTTCTATCACAGGAGATAGTAACAATTACGGACTCCAATTACCAAATTTTGAAACAATTCCGATGGAAAGAGTGGGTAAAATCATGAAAATACTGAATATGGGGAGGTACCATTGCATGGGACCTATACGAAAACGTATAGCCTTTTATTTGTCAAAGAAAACGATCCCTATTATGAACTCGAAATACCTAATCTGAAATAATTCTAGTGAAAAGTGTTCTTAAAATCAGGAAAATGTCGAAAATGGGGAGGTACCGAAGATGTGGATATGTACACGGTGAGATAAAAAAACTGAAACAAATCCAACGCCATAATTTTTACATTTTTGTTTTTTAAATTTTATTGAATGAAAGCAAAAAATGTCGGAAATGGCATCAAATTTTACAATAAGTTTAGATTTGTTCGAATTGGTCATGAATTATGGCCTTCAAACGGCCAATGAAACCGTCACACGCTGCTCGAATGTTGCTCTTTGGTATTTTGGTCCATTCTCGGCTAAGCGCTTTCTTGAGGTTATCGACACTTTGGTATCTTTTAGTGCCAAACTTGCTTTCCAAAATACTCCAGACACAACAGACCAACGGATTGGTATCCGGAGATTATGGTGACCATTGTGCGCTAGAAATGAAGCGAGGAACCTCATTTTCTAACCATTCTTCGGTGGCGCGTGCTGAGTGCTGTTGGAATGTCCGCTTGTAAAAAAGGTCTGCTATCAAAATGTCTGCGTGCCCAAGGCTTTAATACACTCTCCAGAATATTTTCGGGATAATATGCGGCATTTATTCTGATGCCACGGTCGATTAATACGAGCGATGAGCAACCATCGGCTATTATGGCAGCCCACACCATCTCCAGGGCCGGCATTTGAGTTCTGGTGGCCAATCGAAGGTGCATATTTTCCGCTGACCTCTTTGGCAAGTAAACACGATCACTTTGTTTGTTTAAAAAGTGCTGGACAATGAATGTTTTCTCATCGGAGAAAACTGAATTCGACAGTTCATCACTTTCGGCCTAGGGAAGTAACTCTTAACTCTTTTGAGTCTCTTTTCTTTCTGTTGCGGTGTAATTTCTTGCACTTTTTGGAATTTCAATGGCTTTACCCCTAGCTCATTTTTCAATATTTTCCGAATGGAATATTGCGATATGCTCAGCTCACGAGCCATTTTTCGGCCACTGCGACGCGGGATTCGATCAAGTCGCTTCTCTACTTTTCGAACCATTTCTACTGATGATGCTGTTCTCTTCCGTCCACTTCCTTGACGTCGGGCTACGCTATATTCACATTTAAATGCTGCAGTGCTCTAATGATAGCCACTTGTGGTTTTCAAGCCAAATATAAAGAAATCACACTATTACGCTTGATTTCATCAGGAATGACTTTTTTCTGGTAAATTCTCACCAAAATGCTTTTGTACGCTTGTAAACAATATAATGAGCTGTCACTGGAATAATTTTAACAGCTGTCGGACGAGTGGCTTTCAAATGACAGCAGTATGAAGTTGGTTGCAGTTTTTTCATGTATTGTGAATATGGGATGATCGGCCCACCCCTTTAGTTCTTTCCCCACAAAGGGTCAATTTCTTGAATAATTGTAACTCACACAAAATGAGAAAGTATTTCCCAACTATTTTTATATTTTTGCGCCTAACAAGAACCAGATTTGAATTTCACTTAAATGAGTAAAGTCGGAGGAACAATGATTGCTCCGTTTTACAATTTATTATGTTAAGATCATCGCAGGCCAGATAGGTAATATCTGGTCTCAAGACCTCAAGCATCAGAAATTAATTTAAGAACTCACTGAACCACTTGAATTATCTGAAACTATGATTTATTTCCCTGGAGCCGAATTGGGAAATAGAAGAACGTTTGTTGATAAGGGAAGAATCCAGATTGGGGAGTGTTTATTAAGAAAAAATCGATATCTCCAGCCTCTTTACAATTATTATTTTGTTAGGATTTTTTGTTTTTGTTTTTGCAAATCTGGCCATCATTCTCTAAATTGGTTTTTGCCCATTTTTGAGTGTAATGGACCCTCTTATAAGTTTTCTGACAGCAAACGGAAGTTTTGAAAGGTATTTTCCTTACTACTGGTACACTGGCCTTGATTACCGAAAACAGGGTGTGGCATATTATTAAAAATAAAGCTCAACAACCATATATATATTTTCTCTCCAAAAATGATGAAATTTCACTTTATGTGTCCATAACATTGTATTTAATCAACAATTAAAAAAATATTTCGGTTTCATTTCAAAAAGCGCAATTAAATATGAAATATTGAAAAAAGATACAGAAAAAAAAAATTTTTTGAAAATATATTGTCAATTCTTTAAATGAAAAAAAAAAAATCATTATCATAATAATAATAATTTGTTTACATGTAAACAACAACACCCACTGTATTTCTATTAAAAGTGATATACACTCTATACCTACAACAACTACAACAATCTTAGTGAACAAAAACCAAAAAAAAAAAACCAGACAGAGCTTAGCCTTTTAGAAGTATTTTATACATAGAAGATCCTATCGAATGCACCCGCTCCCTAACCCACTATCCTCTTAACTGAACTCAAGTTTTCACTTCAAATCCAAACTTTTTATACAACCACAAAAAAAAGGAAAATGACGAAAACAAAAAAATTAAAAACTCTAAACCCGCACCAATTTATTATATACAAAAACAAAAAATAAACAAAAGAAATGAAATTAAATACTTGTAAAAAAACTGCACTTATTTTATATGACGTTTAAATGGAAAATTACTATAATTTTAAAACCATAAAAATATGAAAAAAAAAGAATTTATATAAAACAAGTTTTGAAATTAATAGATTTCTAAAATCTATCCTTAAAGGTCTTGATAAATTTTTAACAATTTTTTATTTTATTTTCAAATCAATATTTTTTTTTTTCTTATCTCTTCAATTTCTGCAAAAAAAAATGGAAACTAAAACACTAAAAGAAATCACATTCGTGTTGTAAATTTTGTACTATACCTAATATCTATTAAATGAAACGTGTAATAACTTCTATACTATGGAATATATTCATTAATATTCAAGAAGATCATGATTACTGACAGTAATCCTCATCATTGTCATCTCCATCTCCACCTTCACCAACCACCCTCACCATAACTCTATTTAGACTATAAAACTTATTTTTTAAGACATTCGACTTTTTTATACCTGAAACAAAAAAAAGCAAAAAACTAACTGGAAATTCTTTTTTAAAACAACAACTTATCGAAACTTATAGAACGATAATGATAATAATTATCTATAAATAAAAGAAAATAAGAAATTAAAAATAAATTCTGTAGCTAAATTATATACTTAAATAATTGATTGTAATAATAAATTATTACATAACAAAAAAAAAAAAAACAAAACAACATTATTCATATATAAATGTAGAAAAAAAACTAAAAATGTTTCATTAATTATTAAAATGTGAAAATATTTATGTATATTAAATATATAATTGTTATAGGTTAAGTACATGAACAAATTTGAAATTCTTTATTCAATGCATATTTGTCTATAAAACTGAAATTGAAAATGGTTGCATTTAGGTTTGTAGAATAATAAAAATAAAATGGTATTTTCCAGAACTGCAAAAAATCTAAAAATGTTTATCGATAGCCGATTTTTCCTCTATAATATCGAAAAAGAAATAGCAAAAATAATAGATTATTTCAGATTCTGGAACGGAGAAAATATGAATATTTTACTGGTTCAATTTCTTTGGTAACTTCAAATCGACACAGATTTAATTCATAACCTGTCCTTCATCCTTGCGGCCAAAAATGTGTCTCAGCGAAGGAACCTTTACAACTGCTTTTTTTTTTTTGATTTTTTTAATCATTTTTAATCGATATTTTTACATATGGGACCCAATTTAAATAGAATGACAGGATGGAACATATAGCTAGCTTTTTCCGGAACATTCGGCAACTCAAAACATAAAAAATAGGGTTTGCCGGGCCGAGCTATTAATACCCT